TTACACTCTTTATTTAAGGAACCCCCCCAAAGCAGCATCGTTACTTATTTAGGCCCCCCTAGTAATGGTGCAGCAGATCCGACGGCCTCGATGGTGGGATTTGCATTTGCGCCCAAGACTGTGACCTTCCTGATGGTGCAGGGGCGTTGCAGACTTCAGGCTCTGAGGCTTAACCCAGGAGATGGGATGTCTGCGATTGCCACGCCTTTGCGTGCAAAGCATCGTTTTGCGTTCATAGCCCTATGTGAAGGGGGGATCTTAACATCATGCGGGTGCAGAAGTCACGGTTCGGGGCACTCCTTCATAATCTGTGGCCGCCCGGTTTGAGCAGCCTCCCTAAACCCTAAACCACGACACTCCCCGTGACGGGCCCCAGCACGCTTTCCCCGAAACTCCGGCGGCCACACGCCACCCCACGACTTCTCCTACGTCCGGCAGCGGCCCGGAACCCCGCGACACTCACTGTGACATGCCCCAAAACCGTGAATGGCCGAGCGTCGCAGCCGAAGTCCAGTCAGTCCCGAAGAGCTGCACACGCACAGCTCCCGGCGCCATGGATGTGCCAATGCGGTATCTGGAGGTTTCATAAGAATTCCTCGGCTTTCGACGGCCCGCTAAACTTCTGGTGAGCTGCAGTGCATAGATCTTCATCGTTGGCCAGTCGTTCTAATCATTCTAATCTCGTCCCCATATCTCGTCTATGCACAAAAATGTCAGCATGCGTATACTGTATACCCACGCACATGTACGTATGTATGTATGTACGTAGGTATGTAGGTATATGTAGGTATGTATGTATGTGTATCTGTATATACATATACATACAGACTTTGTCATCTATCTGCATATCTACCCTTCTACACAGAACTCGAAATGTCTCTCGACCCGCCACTAGATCTAACTACACATCCTACATGGTTGTCACGAGACACCTCAAGATCGAACATATCGCCCTTGCGAGACAGCTCACATGAGGTCCAACATACGAGAATAGTCTGCCGGATGCAGCGCATTTCAGCGGATTGTAGCACAGTTGCAGTTCAGACAATGGCTGCAGCTGCAGCTTTAGCTTTGTAATCTAGGCCCAGGGGTTGCCATGGAAAAGTACTTGCCGTTACAGAGCAACAGGCCCCAAGGATGACAGTGAAATTGCAGCCTTTCACCCATTCACAACAGGGAGCCCTGCAGCCTCACCTATCTTGGGAGAAGTACTCGATATCGAACTGTCAATTCTTCCACCCTGAAACCACATGCATTGAGCCCGGAACCAAAACCGCAACAGCCTGTTGCCCTGTTAAAATCGGGAAGCCCCTCACACCCGAGACATCCCACACCCTGCAACGCTAAGCCCTAGGTAACAGTCCCAGGCACGAGCTGGTACCCCATCCCGCAGGCGTACTCCCAGTAATTGGTGTCGATAGCGGCACTTTCATGAGCAGTTGCCTGGACTCTCGGTTTCAGGGTTTAGGCTTCTCCCGTCTTGAAGCGAGTATTCGGGTTCCTTGGAGGTTGGATCTCAGAGTTGACTTTATCTGACTTACTTCAAAAGGTGTCGGCCCAAAGGGCCTTCTGACTTTCATGAGAAAGCGGGGGCTCGGGGTCACAGGCCGAAGCAAATCGAACCCCATCGCTCGACAAAGACGGTGTGAATAGGAGCCGCAAAATTATCAAGGGGTCAGAGAGAAGAAGACGTTGATGTTGATGATGATGTCATCATGAAACCTACGCCACCAACCATGGACACGAGGCTACATTCCATTCCCGCAGCACTACCCTCGAAGCTGTGAACCTGAAGCAATCCGCCCCTTACAAGCCTCGTGCGCTTCTTGAGGCTTGATTTCAAAGTCTCTTCCATAGCAAGATAGCATAACCACATCGTCACCACCAACAGAAACAGCATATAGCTAGCCATGCTGGTCATAGCAGCTTCCACTGCAAATATCGGCCGCGCGGCGGCGTGAGGCCCCAAACATCGGCTTTGGCCGAAGGCGCGTAGTAGGAGCCCGTCCGCGGCACCTAGTTCAGGGGTCTTGATAGTCAGAATGATGCTTGAGGATTACTATACTACTATACATTACTACCAGGATTTTGGGGAGACAAACTTGCTAGTTGTTTGGACCCCTATATACTACCCCCAATTTGCGAGTATGTGTCGGACAATGGTTTCGACCGGTTCTTGCCGGTTTCTCTTCTGGTTCGGAATATGGGAGTTTCCGAAAATAGGGGACCCTAATCTAGGGCCCAAAATAATCCTTATTATAAGGACCCCAAAATCAGGTACCCCTAATTTTCGGAAACTCCCACATGATTCTGACCAAACTCAAACGGGGGTTGCCCCCGAGGCTTCGCAGGTGGATGAGATCTTCGAGGGCCCGTCTGCATGCGTGTATGTACCGAACTGAGTACGCATGAAGACGAGCATGTGTGTTCGTGTGTGTGTGTGTGTGTGTTGGTATGCATACACAGAAAACAAAGCGAAGGTGTATGTATATATGTATGCACACACATACAGACACAGACAGACGGGCAGACAGACGGACAAGCAGACAGACAGATTAAACATAAATCTATCTATACATATACATCTGCAATATGCGCACACACACACACACACATGCACGATCGAAGCAACTACACGGTTTGAGCATCAGCATTTAAACGCGCTGCTGTGTGCATGTGTGTATTTCTGTACGTCTGTACGTCTGTATGTACAGACACACGTACAGATGGGCTTATATATTGGGCAATGAAGCAGACTCCATGTTTTGTATCTATTCGTACATGTAGGTGTCCATCCATCCATCAATACATACAGGACCCGCGAAGCTGAACACCCTAATCCCTAAACCCTGAATTCTCATCCCTAAACCCTGAATCCTCATCCCTAAACCCTGAACCCTAAACCTCTCAGTGGCAGATCTGTGGGCCGAAGTCCCAAACTTCCCGGCCTGTGCCGGCCAGGTTGGGTTCCTTGAGCTGTCGGAGCAACAACGCGGCGTTTCAGAGAGTGTAGGGTTTAGGGCTTAGCGCTTAGGGCTTAGCACTTGGGGCTTCAGACAGTTTAGGGCAGGGTTTATGGTTTGAGATTTTCGGGGTTGCGTGGTAGTTTTGGATAGTTTGATCAGTCTAACCATCTTATGGGGACAACAAGGGGCCTGTGTTCTAAATGAGTCAGTCCTCATGATTAGGTCCAGGTTTTAGGCAGGGTCCGAAACTAATCCACCACCATACATGAAGTCCCCCAATGCAGCTTTGACTTCTTCCTTTCTCTGCTTGCTGCTTGTGGGCGTGGCTAGGACAGGGGGGCCAAGTAACTGCTACATCAGCCGTGTAGTGTGGTGACCTAACGTTCAGGCTAGGTCACTTTTCCGAGCTTCGCGGCTTGGATAGGAGCTTCGCATGGGCTAAGCATCCTGTGGCATCGCCGGTTGATTGTGCAGCGTTGTGTTGTGGAGCTGTGTTCCAGCTGGGTTAATACTTCGGAGGGTGGGTCACGCGTACCACCGGCCAAAGGTGGTCAAGTTCAAGGCAAAAGCTTTGCACATCGCTTCATAGATGTCTGATCTTTTCTGCCCGCAGAGCTTTGAGATGACTTGGGCTGTCTGGAAATCCGGGCCTGGCGGCTTTAGAATTTATCTGCGGTCGGAAGACAGCATGTAAGACTACTTTGCTCACGAGCTGTGCATTCTTCGGATGCTTATTGAAGCTGTGCTAGCCCCTCATTTCCAGCAGCCAGCCTGATCCTTCTTCCGAAAGAAGGCGGCGCATCTAAGCACACTGGGGTGCGGAAACTTGCTCAAGTCGTCAAACCGCACAGATTCACCTGAGCACCGATTCGTCCATGATGTTGTAGCCTCGGGTATGTCGCAAGGCTGGCGTGCAACGGCTTTACAAGTACTGGTGCAGCTGTACAGAGAGTGCAGGGATTCAACTTTTTCTACTTGTTCCGTAAGCGTACATCGTATCTACATTATCGGATCCTTCAGCCCTGCAAGCCCTCAGCCAAACAAGTGAGCAACTTGCGAACACATGTTCCCAAGCATGCAAACCATCCGACCCAGGCCCTTGCAATAGGGATTCCTTCCCAGTGTTCGTATTGTTACTCAGATCCGCTCCGGAAACTAACTTGGCATGATTAGAAATGAAATGACCAGGGGTGCAGGAAGGCATCTGCTGGCAGCACGTGACAAAGGAAAAGCTAGTGTTGATTGATATACAAACATCATGATGGAAAAGTTGCTGGCCCCCCGCCCTCCGACGTCAAGCAAAACACCTTGATATCCACGTGGTACAATTCCCCACCCTGGGCCCTACCTGGATTTTAAAGTACGTGCGATCCCTTGCAATCCGAGGATATTATATACTTCATGCACGGATTCTGCCGGGTTTTTCTTGAACACAAAGAGAGACCGCGTCGAAACTTCAAGAGCCAAGATCGAGGCATCCATCGTGCTCTGTGAGGACCGCTTTTAGACAATGATCCCCTGAAAACCTTCATCTACTTGTACTATCTACATGCCCTTACAATCTCCACATGGGTGGTTGTCAAAATTGTGGTCTCTTTTTGGGTCCCTTTCTTTTAATGCGGCACCTATTATTTAGGATGCCCCAAAAAGGGACCCCTATCTTGACAACTACCCGCATACCTATCTGAAGACCTAAACCCATTCAACCCTAGGCTTGTAGCTTGAGCGTCAGAGGTTGATGCGGAGTCTGGGCCATCGCGAGTCGCTGGGTCAAGCCTTGAAAGATCGTGATGTGCTGTGGTGCTTATGGTATATTATAATCAATTACATCAGACAGAGTGCATTGTCTGACTTCTGCTATGTAACATTAGCTAACATATACAAGACATACAGAGGTACCAGCTTTCGTTGCCACCTAAAGACTCTCAGTCAGAGGCACTTCTTGCTCCCCATCCTAGAGTACTCTAGGATGGGGAGCGATTGAATAGTGCTGAATGGCGCTGAAGGGTCGGCGCAGTCTGGCGACCAAGCGGCTTGGCGGAAGCGAGTTCGTCGAGACCTCCAGGGCTCGTTGCGTACTTTCAATTGGGAGTTTCCGAAAACTAGGGGTATCTTAGTGTAGGCTCCTTGTTACTATTTAGGGTACTGTATTCGGGTACCCTAATTTTGGAAACACCCAAGTCGCAGCCCTTTAGCACTCTCGGCAAAACGTCACGCCCAAAGAGCCAAGAGACCCCTTCAGGATCCTTAATATAGGGGCCTTTATAATTTGAATAGGGTTTTGGGGCCCATTATACCATAATGATAAAAAGGAACCACAAAAATAGTATAGGAAATCATTTAGGCCCCTGTCTTGTGTATCCTTAAGGCGCAAGAGCTCGGAGTCCTCTCCCGCCCGGCAAGCCTGAACACTCCGGCTTCCGGCGGCCTTCAGGGTGTACCACTCCTGCATATTCACGGTTAATTCAGGGGCCGTAGTAATAATTGGAATGGGGTTTTGGGGCCCAGTATACTATACTCATTATAGGGAACCACCACAATAGTATAGGTAATTCTTAAGGCTCCTGCAGTAAAATTTTTTCGTGGGAAGATTCCTTTAGACTCCGGGGTCTGTGGGTTCAGGATTCACTGGGGTTGAAGATAGATTGAGGTTCATTGAAGATGCTTAGTAGTTCGGGCTTGCTCCTCTCTCGGAGTCCTTTCACTTTCCCGCAGTCGTCGGGGCATTCTAGCTTCCCACCGCTCCTCCTGCTTGGCGGCTTCTGTATTTCTCTAAGCCCAGAAATGAAGAGAACGGTTTATTTCCTACATCCTACGCATTGAAACTACGAACCCCAACAGCATAGTTAAGCGCCCAACCCAAGCCCCTCAACCACTCACGAAACTCAAAATCGCAGGTAGGACCATCGTGTTTGGGGTTTTTGGGGTGGGGATCATGGGATTGTATTGTAATTTTCTGGAGCTCATGCGTTGAAGCACTTCCATGCTTTAGAACCTCCAAAAAATCCACTCATGATTATGGCATCCTGTAAGAGCCAGCTTGATCCGACTCAGAGACAGGCCCCAAGCCGTGCAAGGTGTAGAGCACTGTGTAGAGTCAGGCAAACATTCGACACTTCGACAGAGTTTGCATAACGCCACGCACCAACCACTGTGCATGCTCCAGACTGTGACTGTGGTTATGCGAATCTTACACCGTCTGCTTTTGATGTTGCCGTGCTGCGGAGTCGGCAATCCCTGCATAGACTAGCAGACCATGACGGCTCCTGAAGCGGTGTCCACCCAGCATGAAACTCGGTCTCCATTTTCTCCTCCCACTCCTGGTGCCAGCTGTCGGCAGCCGTTTCGTCTAGAGTCTAGACCGTGTTCAGTTTTATGCAGACACAAGCGCGCTTAGCCCGCCTGAAGCCGACTTACTGCACTCTGCTCCTACTGGAACCCAAGCAAGGCCAAAGCCCCTCCTGAAAGTCCACAACTCTGCACTGCACCATATTCTTGACCCGAAAGCAAGATGACATTTCACAAGACAACCATCGAAGATGGTAGCCCACTCTTGGTGGTCGAGTCTCTCGCACGGTGTCGCTGGTGCGATACCTTGAGCCAGGCCCAAGATCCTCACGGGAGTTTGGGGGGTCGAGCTTGAGCAATTGCAAGACGGGGGTTAAGGGTTCAGGGTTTTGGGATTGACGGGTTGGGCAGTTTGGCAGCTAAAAATTGACCTTCCGGCACAAGGTTGCCGAACTGTCTTGTTAGCTCTCCTGCAACTATGTGCTTGGCCGTAGCAGACAGTGATACCGGACTTGTAGTTTCAGTCACCAATCCTTGAACAAAAACAATGCTTGTCTTCGCAAGGTTCTGAGGTCTTGCACAGATCGAGAAAGACTTGTAAACGCGACAACTATATACAGCTGCTGCTACAGCTGCTACTCTGCCAAAAGTTTGAAAACCCAAAGCCAATAGTAATTGCCATCCTCGGCATCGTCGGCCAGCTCCAAATACCTGGCTGCTGCAGGCTTGCTCGTCAAAGTAGGCCTGCCTGTTTGCGGAGTTAGGGCTTCTTGCTGAAGCATCTCTTGTCCGTTGAATTCAGGGATGAGAACATCAGCCCGGATATGTCGAAGGCGACGTTGGAGGTCTGTGTTTGCAAGAATGCGCACCTTGATCATTCGTCCCCTGCAATCGCGAACTGGCAGCCGTGCTTTGAAGTAGCTCAGTATAGAGAAGCACTGTACCGCTATGGGCACCTGCCGGGAGTCTTCAATGGCGAGATGCAGAGTTTTAGCTGTTCGAATTCCGAACATCTCTACAAACAGACGTACGACCTGGATACAACTCGAAACTCCGAAGCATGCTGCAGGCACGTGGATCCGAAATCCTGCCCCCAGAACCCCAGAACTGGAGATTCGTAAAGGCTTCTGTGTCAATCGCGCAACAAACGCCGGCTGTTTCGGGAGGTAGACCTTGGTGAAGTCTCCAGCCAGGCTGCATGAAAAGCGACGTCTCATCGTTCGGGTCCGCCCATATGGAAATCCTGAAGCCAGCAGCCGAAAAGCTTGGGAGTGCAGAAGTTCATAAGCGGAACTCCCCGGATAGGCATTCTGGCATTGTGGAGCAGCATCATCTTCACCGGAAAAACCGATTCCTTTCATTTTTAGCTGGTAATTTGTCTTCCGGAAGGATTCAATCCCGAAGCAGCTGGATTGTAGAATGAGTCGGGTATTGGCTCATGAGGGTCAGGACCGGTCAGGACTTCGGGCTTCGGGCTAGCCTGTCTACTTACTGCTTTGATTTGCAGATGCCGGGAGGCGTTTCCACACCAGATCCAGCCAGCCCCCTCTCCACTTCTGGCCACACCGCCTAGCAGTTTTGATGAGCTTGTCCACAATGTTTTTGTAACTACGGTTTCAGAGTTCTTTCATTGAAAAATTAGGCCATGCTCAAAAGGTAGGTTCACAGTTACGCGCAGGTTCTCGAAAGCCTGCCATAGCTAATGCAATACGGGGTTAACTATCAACAACTACGAACCACGAAACCAGGACATCAGCGTCGATGCCTGACACACTTACGGCTGTCGGGATATGCAAGTCTCAAACAGGGTCTCGTCGGGCGATTCGTCTTAATGCCCAAACACCGATTGGACAAAGACTTCAGTTCGAAAGTTCTGCGTCCAAACTTCTCGGTCGCGAATCAACGTTGAAGTCTTGGAAACTACCCTATAATGGGCTATATAATGGGTATATAATAGCTATATTAAGGGTATATACCTAGGGGTCCTTATTAAGGGTCCCTCCAAGCACTTCGACTTGGACTTGAGGGCATCTCGAACACTGAACCTTGCACATACGCCCCAAGGGAACACAAACATGTCTGACTCTCACTATTAGGACCTCATGAAGCAGGGGGGGAGGGGTCATTGAACCCTGAAGTGCTGAACCAGCCTGGTGGTGACGCCTGTAAAGCTTGACTCGGTCTGGGTGCACCTGGCGAAGAACATGACCCAGTGACGCTACGGTGCAGCAGGAGGCAGTATGTGTGCAGGATTCACTCTCGAGCATTCCTTTCACCTCAGCGAACCGTTCACTCTTACGATCTACGAGAGCTTTCCAATCTTTCGATAAGGTCTGGAAGTAACGACAAACCCTAATGTAGGAACCTGATGAAGAAACCCTGGTCCTATAACCCCAAAATAGTAGGATTCATATAAGGAACCCTAATAAAGGCCCAAGGTTTCTTAATCAGGTTCCTACATTAAACACTGCACTTGTTGTCGACCCAGCCTTGGCCATTTGCATGACCCTCTTCCGCCGTGTCTCCTTCGCCGCAATGCGACGGGACATCCAGAGCCTCGGATCTGTCAGTGAGAAGCTTCGACATAGAAGCCTACTATAGGGGCCTGAATAATTACCAATACTATTTCGGGGGTTCCTTCTTATAAATATAGTATAATGGGCCCCCAAACCTTCGCTCATTATTAAGGCCCCTGTATTAGATTCCAGAAGCGCCAAACCCACGGAGCTCCGAAATAGAACCTTGCCTTTTCGAAAACAAGCCACACGCACCGGATTTGTCAGGCTGCCATGCTCCGCCCGAAATGAAGCCAAGTTCAACACATCCGAGTCTCCAGTAGCCAAGCGAGACGGTTCAGCTTTGCCGGCCGTTGAAGTTCCAAGAAACAAGTGGATTCACGGTCCGGATACTGTCGAGTTTCCCCGAAAAAAAGCATTTGGGTCGTCGGGAGATATTTACCTTCAGACCCCCCCCGAAGCAGACAAAGAACCAAACTGCACAGTTTAACTTCTAACAAACATGTCGGTCCAATGTGCCAGACCTTGGGGCACACATCCCAAACCGCACCAACTCGGAGTATCCAAAGATTCAAGCTCCGCAAGTTTGTGCCATTGACGTGGATACTACGGAAACCCTCCACCCACGAAGCCCGAGAGACACTTGATCTCAACAGGAAACGTAAGGCAAATCCCACGGCAACGACTATGGTGAGTCGATGATGCCTGGTCGCATGAGAACCATCCCAGTTCGATCCAGCTTAAGCTCGATTGGTGGCCAAAGCGCGCGCTCAAGAAATCAATCGGAGTCGCTGCAATATTCCGAGTTCGAACATGCAACAAAGTACATTAGACAATCACGCTCAGCACCTGAAGTAAAACCAACGACAACTGAAATGTATTTCCCGGGAACGCACCAAGCACTGCTCCGACTGCAGCACCAAAGGCGAAGGATGTCGTGGATGCCATGGCTGATCCGTAGGCTACTGCTGCTGCTGATCTGCCACTCCTACGACATGGACTTCCCGAGTCGCACATATTACAGTTGTCGTCATCATCGATGTGCGCAAAAAGAGTAATTCTGTTCAACGTCAGACATGGGTCGTGGATTCAAGGCTTCGGGGTAAACCTTCAGGCTGCCATGAAACGCTCGAGGAGCTGGCTTTTGGTCAGCGTTCAGATCTGAGTTGTTTCTAAGCTCGGGAGGCAGTGGATCCACCACATCATGAGCGTTTGCATGTGTGTGTGTGTGTATATATATATATGTATGTGTCTTGAGCTTTTGCTGTTTGCTGAGGAGCATGTGCAAGCTGCTCAATGAAATGGGTACTGAGCCCTAGCAGGTCGCGAATACATGTGTGCGCACCGTTTCGTCTTCGAAAACACAGACCCTGAATCCTATTCCCGACGCCCCACCGGATTCCAACACTCGACCCCGCCGACAAACGACCTCAACACCCCAAGAATGAAATGGACGGCGTTGCAGACTCAGTGGGAGTAGGATTTCTGCCTAAACGGGTTTGAACTTTCTCACGCGCTTTGCCTGACGGACTGTCGTAGGTTGTTGAGCTCAAGCGCGGGCTCTGCCCTCGCATCAACTCCTAAACTCCCCAAAATCAACTCCTAAACCCGAAAAGCCCATGGTGCAGCTGGGGTTCAATCCACCACATTGAGAGCGAGCCTTGCTTTGATCTCGGAAAGCGGAGGAGTCCTTAGGCCACTGGGACTCTGGGATTCTGAGAACCGTGATACTGTTGATGGACAAAATCCTGCATGACCCTAAGGACTCTAAACGATGGGAACTATGGTATATTCCTTCTCATGAGTAATGCAGGATTTTGTCCATCAGCAGTATAGGGGCTTTATATAATACAATTACCAACACGATTTTGGGGATTCCTTATTCGAGGTTCGTATCAAGGGCCCTATATTGCTGCGTTTCCTCTGTTGCTTCTTCGCTCTGGTAGTTCAGGGTTGGGCTTCGGCTTCGGGATGGGCACTGAAGCCCACTGAACTTAACCCTGAACCCAAAACTGCACATAGGGACTACGTACGAAGTTGATTGTAAGAAAGCGGTCTCGGGTTTCGAGTTATGAGTTCCGGTGGACATCTTACAATCCTGACTTGCGGCACTTCTCTGGTGGCTGCAGCTGTGGTTTTCATACTCGTGCTCGGCGTTTGTATCGTTACTCGAGTACGATGATCATGTTCAACTTTGCAGCTGAGTGGATCCATGTCTGAACTCAGGTCGCCCTTCCCCCATGGCTCACCTGAGTCCCACACCACAGGCTCGCTGCGCCAGGCTCCTAACATTCTTCCGAAGCTCGGGCTTCAAGGTAACATGAATAGTAACCTTGATAAAAAGAATAAGGTTTTGGGGCCCATTATACTATACCTTAGAAGAGGCCCACACCCTGTAATAGTGGTATAATTGGAATATAATGGCCCTAATGTAATCCTTATACGGGCCCCTTCTAAACTATACTTATAATAGTGCAGTACTTGCTGTTCAAGCTCTTTGGTCTCCTCGGACCATTGAACTTACATGCAAAGTTGCTGCTGGCTTGGACCTTTGCACGGATTTGGCCTGCGTGAGACGCGCTGGACAAGTCACCCGAAGCATCGAAGCTTCCTAATGCCGGGCAGACATGCTTGGCCTTGGACAAACGCTCTGCAACTAATACAGTAATTATTAATAATTAAACGACTCGACTGCTGCTGCCTTTGCCACTACATTGATAACTGCCTTGAGTGCTTCTTGGTTTTGTCGTGTCGCTACGTACAACCACAAGTAAGTCTGACTTGTCCTTGTCGTAACCCGTCTAAGCAACCATTCTAATAAACCTTCTCTCATTGCACCCAGTAGAGCAGCTCTTACAGCAAGCTTATGGCTATGATAACCCTTGAACCCTAAACCCTGCAGCCCTAAACCTCCAAACCCTATAGATCCCTTATAGAGCCCTGTTGAAGCAACCCTGTTCTGTGATCGGATGGAACCAAGGCTCTCTCGTAGCTGTACACAGTGGTTGTGCCGCCACCGACAGAGTCCTGCCACGTTTTGCTGGGGTTGAAGACAAGAGGGCTTTCATGTACTGCTAGCCCTATCAGCCCCTTAATCACCGAACCCTAAACCATACAGGCCCTAAGCCACAAACCTTGAGCCCTAATATCCGAAACCCTGGCCCATAAGTTAAGCTCTTACTATTTGGGCCGAGTCGAGGCAGCACAACCGTCTCCGCTTCCCTTCAAATTCAACCTTGAGCTGGGGGTTCCAAGTCTGGTCCTAGGCTATGGCTTCGGAAGAGGCTTTCCTGCTGCAGTGCTTCTGACAGAGTCCTTCTCCGTGTTCGACTTTTCCACGCACACATCCATCTCCTGGGTGCAAGGAGCTTAGGCAGTTTAGGCTTTAGGGGACCAGATTAATGACTTAGGATAAACCCATTCACAAACGAGCTCTCACTGCATGCATAAGACGTATGAGGCGAAGTTCAAAGCAACTCCTGTGCAGATCTTTGGAAGCCCTTTTTCTCACCAGGGACTCACCAAAATCGCGATCTGACGGGTTCAAGACTAGACCATGCGTAACACACAACAAGCGGGAGGGACAACCATGCTATTCGGAAAGACCTAGTGCCTCACGCATACTGGTGCACTGTCCTGACTGCGTAGTTCTTTGAGAATTCGGCGCTGTCTCCAACACGCACATGAGAGAGATAACACATGCCGGCGAGTGCAGTGCAGACATCGCACGCACAAAGTGTAACAGGTACGCTGCTTTCAAGCCTCGCAACCCACAACAAGTGCAAAGGTTGAAAGCGAACCCCTAGAAACAAGCTCCTGCTGTCCTTACAAGTAGTCTAACACAGGAGGGACCCCCAAGGAGGGAGCATGCAGTCGAGCCACCGCTTCGATCCTGACACCGGTTCCCACCTTGTTTCAGGCACTTGTGCGTAACATCGAGCTATCAGTGTTTATAAAGGCTTTCCGAGGCTCTTCTCTGGTCCGCAAGGGTTGCTTTCAAGTCAGAAGCCTTCTGGCTGGTATACATTTTCGAACGTAAGGCCAGGGTTCAAGTGAGTTGATGCGTGTTACACTGTCACACTAAATCGTGAACTCCAAACCCTAAAAGAGCTCGGAGCCCTCGAACTTGGACAGTGAAGTCGGCGGCCTCAGTGACCCCGCAGGAACGGACCCTAACAGACAGCCAGTCGGCCAGGTGCGAGAGCGGCACATCAAACCCCAGACCCTGTAGAACCCTTCACTACACACTAGCGTTGCTTCACAGGCTTCGGCAAAGCTTGGCTTTTTCTTTATGCTTTTCCGACGCTGGTTTGTAGCCGGATATTTGTTTACTTGAAGCTCAGAGTTTAAGGCACAATCTCCGAGCCTTCCCCAAACTGTGGCAGTGGTGAACGAACCGTCTTACCTGTTTTTCTGCGATACCAAGATGCATAAGACGACAGCACGCTGCTGAAGTCACCGGCATTGAGATCCTGGAAGTCGACTTTGCGGTGGCGGTGGTGGTGATGGTGGTAGTAGTAGTAGTAGTAGTAGCAGGAGTGGTAGTTGTAGTAGTGGTGGTGGTGGTGGTGGTAGTAGTGGTAGTGGTAGTGGTATTGGTAGTGGTCGTGGTAGTGGCAGTGGTAGTGGCAGTGGTAGTGCTAGCAGTAGTGGTAGCAGCAGCAGCAAGAAAGTCGAAGCAGGGGTAGGAGTAGGAGTAGCAGTAAGAGTGGGAGTAGCGGTCGCAGCAGCATCATCGACTGTGCCGGTGGTGCATTCAATTTTTTCAGTCTTGAACCTTGGCCGTTTTGACTCAAAGGCCCGCCGTTCATCTGCCGCTTCGCCTTGTTCCACCCCTCTCACCCGCTCTCTCCCCTGAACCCCAGGCCCGGATGAAGACAACCTGAAGGTGGCGAAATGTTGAGAATCAAGTACATCGGGAATGTCCTTTTCAAGTGTAGAACTAAACTTACGAACGCCCACAGCAAACGCTCCGATCATCTCTGACACTTCGATGCGAAATCGTCCACCCTGAACCCTTCTGTGCCAGGCGCCTGGTAGAGGCCCGGAGTGATACTGCTTTGGTTCAGATCGCCTGTGCTCAGCGACAACTTTCTCGACTGTGGCTAGTTGTACCTGGTTAAGCAAGCTGACGGACGCTGATACTGCTGCTACAAGCATAGCTCCTTCGAGATGCGGCTTCTTGTTCTTATGCCAGTTTGTCTTCGTGATTTTTGTTCCTGGTGACAGGACGATGCTTCTTGCTGGCACTCGAAGTTGTGCCCCGTGGATCTTTGGAGCGACTTCACGATTTGTCGGAGGTTGCAGAAGCGGTGCGCAATCTTAGGGGCATTCAACTGATCGGGAGATTAAGACTTTCCGAAATTAGGCAGAGCTGCTACTGTAGCACATACATTCTGTCCGTCTCGGGTCACGAAGCACAGCCGCCAGAAACTTCAACTGCAAGAGTCTTCTAAGCCTTCCAAACTTCAATGAGCGTTTCCGTCAGTCATGCCCAATGAAATTCCCAGCCGAAACGATTTCGTGCTAAACCCTGACAGTCCCTTACCCTGCAACTTCTGCGGCCCGACCCAGCAGTAGTAACCAAATACGTCGCCACAGGTTTCTGGAATCGTCTCAAGCACGGCACGGGAGATGTCACAGGTCTTTCACAAAGCCGAGGGGCAGGTGAAGAAGACGAGGTTGCCTGGCGAGGTCGGACGTTGAGCAGTGGGTTGCTAATACAAGGGCCTTCATAATTACAATAGGGTCCTGGGGTCCATGATATGTTAGCTATAATAAGCAACCCCATTGGAAATTTAGGCCCCTATATAACCTTCTGCCTAGAACTCCGTCACACTCCACAGCTCATGCAACAACAGTCCAGTAGCGGTAGTTCACCGAAGCTCCGAGAGTGGTATAATCCTTCAGGTGTTCAGTCCATGGTAGATAAGCCCCACGCTAGCATGGGCAGTGTCATTCTAGGGCACTTCTGCCGCGACAGCGGTGAGGTTATCTGAAGACCAGATGATCCGTATGCTGCGACCACTACTGTATGGGACCATAATTATGAGGGGTCAGGTATTTTGAACAAGGGCAACGGTGGCAAGGCAACTGGTCCATGTGCCACGGCCAGAGGGCCATTATTGATGTGTCGGTGACTCGTGACGTGCGCAAGACAGAAATTGTCTGCTCGAAGATACAAATGAAAGCACCACACCAATGCAACAAACAACGTCTGATTGAGGACAGCAGAATCCGCAAGAACGGAATCGTTAAAACGTTGCAGTTGCAGCGGTAGAAGCACCATTAGTAATCATCGTCGTCGTCGTAACAGAAGCAACTGTCGCAGTAGCAGTCGCAGTACGAGTCATTAGGGGGAGGCTAGCAGTAGCAGCAGTAGACGCAGCCTCCTGCTTCTCTGATCGACCCCAGCCTCGAATCCCTGGAACTCCTGAGCCCTGCCTACTTCCTGCGTTGCGTCGGTGCAGCCGACTTGCTTGAATGCATCCTGACCAGACCTTTCAGCAAAGAGGGCTTAAATCATGATCATCTCATCACCACGTGCTTCGGAAACTCCATCGGGATGGCTTGGAAAACGGGAAAACAACTACAAAATTAACAGATAGCGGGGAAGCTTCCTTTCTTTACTACCCGTCCCGGCGCCTCGTACGAGCCATTGCAAACTTAGGTTCACTGCTTTCGGTTTCCAAAGCCTTCAAGCTTTTCGCCGTACAGAAGCCCCACATCCACCCGTCCACCTCCCTTCACCCAAATGCAACCCCTAAATCCCACATGAAACCCCGAATTCAAAAAAAAACCAGTGTGACGTTCAGCTAGGGCGCAGTATGGCCGCCTGCTCGCACACATCCCGCTTCTCATTCCAACCCAGCAACACGGCGCCACCAATCCTGGGCAAAGGTCTCGCGCTTGAGGATGTATAACTGATGTAGCAGCCTTCCGAATCCTTTAATGGGGTTTTGGTGTGTAACCATTATGGTACTGATACTCGCCAGACCATGGAGAACCTTCTGCACAGAACTCAGAATGCGACGATCTTGCTATTCGTAGCAACTGCTACTGAATACCATGCTCTCTGGGGACACCTTTTGAAGGCTACAGTGCCGGTTGTGATTTCGTCAATGCTTACTACCAGTGAACGAACAGCTATTGGCTCAGAGGCATCTCTGAACACAGCGACTCTGTATTCTTGAAGAACATGACTGCTGCTGTTGTTGCTGTCGCGTTCATCATTACTATTCTTAACTTTCGCCGTGCAGGAACAGCAAGACCGCGATAAATGGACACTCCTCTTTCCAACAGGCGAAGGGCTTTCAGAAAGATGTCCCCGCGTGCTGAGGCTGACAGCCCACAGTCACAGTCAAGTCACAAATGCAAAAAAGAAGAGAACCTGAAACTCGGAAAGACGCCACGGGATCTCCATGCAATAGCCTCAATAGCCCGATCCTACCTGCTTGCCAGGCAGCAGAACGATCGGAAAGCCGCAAACAGCACAAAGCACGCCTTCGAATGATTTCGGGTTGCCCTCTTCTTCTAGCAGGACTACTAGTCTTGCCCCTACTAGTACTATGGCATCAGGAAAGCAACGACATCACCAAGCGACAGCAGCAACAACACAAGCAGGAACAGAAACAGCAACTGCAGCGACTACGACTTCGACTTTGACTGCTCTAGTACTGGATTGAATCCGGCTTTCGGGAACTTTGTCATGCAAGGCTGTGGAATGAGAAACAGTTCGTGGCTACCGTAACAGTGCAAGGAGCGCATGCCAAAATTTCCGCTGCGGGCGAGGATTCGTTCCTTCTGTGACGCCTTCATTATCCTGTTCCTGCAACTGCTGCGATGATGGGACTACTACCACCCCCCAACTGCCGCCGCTTACTCCAGCACTGCTCTGAAGAGACGAAACGGACGACTCGAATCAACCTGAGCGCCCCTATAAGTTGAGAATTTCGGATGATACCCAACATGAGCCCGAACCTGCACGCAACACCCTGAAGCTCTTAAACCAGTGCTGTGTCCAGGTACTGCTCAGTGCACGCTGTAGGCCACTCGTATGCTCCACATCCTCGACTTCTCGGCAAAGAATATCGGATTTCGGCGGGCTTCGAGATCACTGGAAAAAGCCAAGACTAAAACCGACACGAATTCTGCCAATGCGCCGAAATGTGGCAAGCATGATAATATCTGGTTTACGCCCAGGCCGCAATCTTGTGATCCTACTTGCATTGATGCCGAGCTATACTACGATCACGATAAGGGCTACAGCTGCCATACTTGTGTTCTTATCCTGCAGGGTCCTCTCCACCACCGAAGCCGAACATCACTGAGGACCGGCAAGGATGGTGGCCAGCAGATCTACGGGCCAAGCTGCAGATGTCGGAAGCTTCAGAGCAACAAGCGTTGTGACTACAGTATGCATATATATATATATATATATGTCTAGATATCTTTTATGTACTTAATATATACACCTATATATATATATATATATATGATACGCATATGCTTATGGTCCACTTATGGCATAAGATTTGGGATTCAGGGCTCGTAGAGCCCCGCGCCATGCGCAGTGGAGCTTCAGCTTTACGGACAGGGAGGCCTTTGGGCTTTGCTGAAGGGCTCGTCGAAGACGAGTTGGGTTTAGGGGTTAGGGTTTAAAGGTTTAAGGGTTTAGGATTGAAGTGTTAGGGTTTACGGGGTTTAAGGTCAAGGGTTGAAGGGTTTAGGGATGAGGGTGTAGGGTTGCGGGTACCCACAGTTTCGGGGTCCTAGTTTCGGATCGGTGGGGGAGCAGTTTCGGATCAGGGCGGGTGAGTTTCGGGGTTGAGTTTCGGGACGGCCAGGGGTCAGTTTCGGATCGGGCCGTGTTCCGTTTCGGATCGGGACGTGGTCGGTTTCGGATCGGGCAGAGGTCAGTTTCGGGTCGCGGAGGGGGTGGGGTTGGGGTGCTGCTACGACGACGACGACTACTACTACTGCGGCTTTGTTGTCTATGCATCATCCGCGAGCCTAACGACCTCAAACCCGAATCCATAGATCTACACGCTGTAACCGTGTTTCGAACCACCTGCAGGGACGTGACAGGCGGTTGCACTTTTTCAGCCCCGTTCGGCCAACAGCTGGACATGCGCACCGTCTTTCGTCGCCAAATGAGGAGCGTGTTTATATCAATATGGTAAACATGCAGGAATCGTCCGATGGGGGGGCGTGTTTAAGAACCCCAAAAAGTCTGGCATCTTGAAGGTATGTGACAGCCGGAATCGTCAAATGAGGGCGTGTTTAAGGTATATCACAGCCGGAACCGCCAAACGAGGGACATGTGTAAATAAATAAATAAATAAATATAAATATAAATATATATATATATATATGTACATATTTATATGTGTGTATCTATATATACATGTATGATAAACCGGAATCGCCGAATCGGTCTGGAGTGTTTAAAGTATATGCCAAATGAGGGGCGCGTTTAGAGGTACATGAAGAATCGGAATCCACCAATCGATCGCCACATGAGGGGTGTGTTTAAATGTTTATGCAAAACCAGAATCGCCCAATCGGGGGGTGTTTTCAGGTATATAATAGCCGGAACCGCCAAATGAAGGACGCTTTTAAGTATATATGACAAAACTGGAATCGTCCAATGGGGGGGCGTGTTTAAGAATTCTTTAAGGTATGTGATGAACCCAACTGGTCTGGCGTGTTGAAGGTATATGAGAACCGGAATCGCCAAACGAAGGGGGGCTGTTTGAGATATATGATGAACCGGAATCGCCTAAACTGGGGAGCGTGTTTGAACAATATATATATATATATGATGAACCCACTGGTCTGGCGTGCCTTGTGAAAGCAGAAAATCCGACAGGAGTCATGAAAACTCACGGCCAGATGAAAAAATGGAATCGAATTGTCGAGTCATGTCACAGTCATTGTTTCGACACCGGGTCTCAAGACTTCGGCGAGGTGCAAGCAATTCTGAAGCATCAGACCTGGAACAGTTTCCGAAATTAAAAGGTTGATGTTCCACATCTGCAAACTTGGCAACTCCACATATTCTCAACTGCACATTCCACCTCAAATTTTCGAATACACATGTAGCAGTGATTAGCAGTGAAAAGTAAACCGCTTACGTGCAATGGTGATCTAAAGTCTACAACTCGTGCTTAACAACTTTCACACTTGCAGAGCAGAGCCTGGTCTATGGCGAGAGCACCACAGCGCGAACGGGACGTGATTACGGTCGGGCCAGAAGCTCCCTGAAGGGAGAAAACCATGGACGTCATCATGTTTTGGGCCATGGACGTCATCAAGGTTGGGCCATGGATCTTCCTTTTCAGAATGGGTTAGACCATGGACGTCATCATGCTTGGGGGTGGGAGGAGGGAAACAACCTAACCTAACACTAACCTAAACCCTGCCCAGCTTCCCCTGATGAGGGGACCTAAGCCCAATAAGAACGACTAAGGCTGGGCCCCTAAACCCGACCTAGCCCGCTTTCCCCTAAAATTTGGGGAGCAAGGCCCTAAACCCTATGCCAGGTTTCCCCTGCAAAATTGGGGACCTTGGCGAAACCCTATGCCCGGTTTCCCCCTTCGGGGGGCCTAGGCAGGTATGTCCTAAACCCTAAACCAAACCCTGAAACGAAACCACCCCCACACGCAAACCGCAACCCTAAAAACCGGAGGGTGGAGGGGTGGGGGGAAGTTTGAGCCAGTCTATACACGAAGTTTGAGCCAGTCTGTACACGTCTGTGAAACACACGTCTGTACAGAAACATGCCAGACAAGGCGGGAAAGCATTTTAGCCGGGGTGACATGAAAGCCTGGCTATCACAGAACACACCGGCGAAGCAGGTTGGTAATGATCCCTGCCTGCAGAGTCTAATGAGTGTATGATATCCCTGCGCATACTGCGGTTGTGCAGGATGGGCCTCGAGACCAAATCTTTCTGCGAAAGGCGTCGGGACCAAATCCTTCCGGAAGCGCCTCGGAACAGACCTTTAAGGAAGGGCGTCGCGACAAAATCTGGCCCACGATACTGTTGGCCCTTGGTACTGGGCGCCGAGGCACCCCGATTACCTTTTGTCGGCATCACATGTGCCAGAACACACACTGCTGCCAGAGATGCAAAGGCATGGACCGGTGAGCAGCAAGGTGGACGATGCCCGCTCTCAGCATTTCCAGTCCAGTATATTCGCCAGGCGCCCAGCATGTGACTTGACAAGTGCACTTGCAACCTCGACCCCAAAAGCCCCCAAGAGTTGGAACCGTGTTGCAACTTTCCGGCGTTGACATGAAGCACAGAGGCCATCAAGGTTCTGTGAAGGGGGGTATATAAGGTATGTGATACCAGGAATCGCCAAATGAGGGGTGTGTTTACATGTTTATGCAAAACCAGAATCGCCCAATCGGGGGGCGTTTTTTCTGATAGCCGGAACTGACAAATGAGGGACGTTTATATATATATATATGATGATGATGAACCGGAATCGTCCGATGGGGGGCGTGTTTACGAATTTTTTAAGGTATGTGATGAACCCCACTGGTCTGGAGTGTTGAAGGTATGCGATAGCCGGAATCGCCAAGTGAGGGGCAAAATTGAATATATGTGATAAACAGGAATCGTGTTTAATGTATATGGTAGCCGGAATCGCCAAATGGACGTGTTTAAGCATATGTGACAAACCGGAAATATGATGAACCCAACTGGTCTGGCGTGTTGAAGGTATATGATAACCGGAATCGCCGAATGAGGGGGGGCTGTTTGAGATATATGATGAACCGGAATCGCCTAATCGGGGAGCGTGTTTAAGAGATATATATATATATATATATATACATAAGATGAACCCACTGGTTTGGCGTGTCGAGGGTATACGACAGCTGGAATCGCCAGATGAGGGGTGTCTTTAAATACATATGATAATAGACCGGAATCGCAGAATGGGGGGGGGCGGGGTGTTTAAGGCATATGATAGCTGGAATCGCCAAATGAAGGGCGTGTTTAAATAGAATTATATATATATATATATATATATACATATATATATGTATATGTTAAACCGGAATTGCCCAATGGGGGGGTGTTTGAGATATATGATGAACCCCAGTGGCCTGGCGTGTTTAGGGTATATGACAGCAAGAATCGCCAAATGAGGGGCGCGTCTAAAGATCAAGAATCGGAATCGCCCAGTCGGGGGGCGTGTTTAAGGTATATGATAGCAGGAGTCGCCAAATGAGGAGCGTGTTTATATACATATATATGGTAAACATGCAGGAATCGTCCGATGGAGGGCGTGTTTAAGAACCCCAAAAAGTCTGGCATCTTGAAGGTATGTGATAGCCGGAATCGCCAAATGAGGGGCGTGTTTAGATATTTCTGATGAACCGGAATCGCTCCATTGGGTGGCGTGTTAAGTTATATGACAAACGGAATCGCCAAAGGAGGGGTGTGTTTAAATATACGTATATACATTTACATGATAAACCGGAATCGCCCAATGGGGCGCGGATTAAGGTATATGATAGCCGGAATCGCCAAATGAGGGGCGTGTCAAAATATATATGATGCACCGGAATCGCAGAATGGGGGGGTGTTTAAGGTATATGATAGCCGGAATCGCCAAATGAGGGGCGTGTTCAAATAATTATATATATATATATATGTATATGATATGCTCAAACCCTAACTCTATGGCCAACCTTGCAATTTCCAAGTATCACCACTGCGTCTGAAATGTGTGTCTGAAATGCAACTTTGCCGAACTTCATGCCTGAAATCGGACCTGAAATCTACCCTACCGCGTCTGAAACGTGCAACGCTCGAGGAACGGAGAGACACAGAGATAGAGGTCGAGATCGGGACAGGCATGGTGGCAGAGAGCTGGACATAGACGTTCTGAAAACGCAAGGACAAAGCACACAAATGGATGATATTGTATTCATACGTTTTAATATGCTACATGACGCATACATACGTACCTGCCTACCTACGTACATACATACCTGTACCTATGTAAATATCTACACAAGTACATGTATACGGGCAAACATACGTACATTCAAGCACGCAAACATACGGGCACACCAACAAGCAAGCACGCAAGAACGCAAGCAAGTTGGCAGCTAAGCAAACGAACAAACAAGAAACATAGATGATCGTAGATGCATACATAGCCTACATACCTACGTGCATGCCCACATACATACGTACCTACATACATGCATGCATGCATGCATGCATACCTACGTGCGTACAATGGTCATTCTTGCATGCATGCCCGCATTACATACAAATCATACTGATTTCTCGGAACATAGATACGTAAGTGAAAGTGCATCTCCATAATATCTATAATATCTATTTGCATGTCAAATGATGGTATTTCCGACTGTATGAGGAGCTAAGCCCCCTGCGGAACTGCAGGCGCTTACTGCGTGCAAGCCATGGCGGCCCGAGCGCTTTGGAAGCTTCGGTTTGAGATTTCGGTGTTGAAGTCTAGACTGTTAGGTTTGGGTGTTTGGGCTCAAAGCCCCGGGGCTTTTGGGGGATGGGGTGATGGGGATGGCAAGTTTAGGCCTCAAGTTGGGGATTGCATGGGTTCAGGCTTACTATGGGCGCAACCAGGATTTAGGCCTATCGCAGTGCAGGAGTCAGCGATTGGGATTACTGGGTTTAGGGTGGATTGGGGTTATAAAATTGATTGCTCAGGGCTGCGGGATCAAGCGCTCCTCCGTCTCGGCAAACACCCACAAACCGACGTACCAACACAACACACCAGCACACCCACCCAACATACAACACACCAATGCACCGCAACGGCACTCTTTTCAGGCCGCGGCCAGATGGTACATCAAGCTTTGCGTCAGCGACGAGCATTGCCCAGCAGGAGCCCTCAAGGTAGACAGGAGAAATGCCGTCGCAAAAGAAGTGCCCCCACTTATGGGAGGGCGGGAGGGTGATCTTGAAAATTTCCGCGGCGGCCCGTGCACGTGCGAAGCTATGCAAACACGTTCAGAGAACTCTAATGCACCGCAACGGCACTCTTTTCAGGCCAGATGGTACATCAAGCTTTGCGTCAGCGACGAGCATTGCCCAGCAGGAGCCCTCAAGGTAGCAAGGAGAAATGCCGTCGCAAAAGAAGTGCCCATATTTGCAAGCTCCGTCCGAAAAGAAGCAAGAGAAAGAAGAGCATCCGCAGACTAGCTTGCGTGCACAGTGCCCATACTTGCTTGCCATCTGGTCATGACCGAGCATAGCATTGCTCAAATCTTCGCGCTAGGACTGCAACTTCCGCATTGTAAAATGCCTTGGCAATGACATTGCACAAACGAGAGGGATAAGGCTCGGCCCACTTGGTGCGCCATTGCCCTGCTGCAGTGCGTCCCTGTAGTGGTACATGCGGCTGCTGAGTGAAATCACAGATGCGCTTGCCCCGACATTTGTGGAGCTCGAGCACGCTCAGGTCGATGTGTACGCCAAGGAAAGCTGTAGGTTTCTTGAAGGGCTTGCCCCATGCACAGTAGTGAGTTGTCCAGCGGCCAACGTGTGGCCGGCGAAGCAAATGTTGCACTGGCGGGCAGAGCCACAAGCGCGAGGTTAGCGGGTTCTTCAGACTGGCGCAAAGCCGCAAGCGCCAGCACAAGAGCACTACCTTGACAGAGAAGCGCATCCACAAATTACCCAGCTCCACTTTGATTTGGTCGGAAGGGCCTTAAGTTGTACAGCCCCAAAGGCTGCACATCGCTTCGAAGAGGTCGAGGGCCAGGCAGGATGTCGCGGGCCCGGGTGAAGCCTTTTCACACGGAGTGCCAAGGTGGACCCCAGAGATACGCCCGGCCTTGATCCAGCCACAGATCAGAGCACGTCGGGAGGAATGCCGAAGATCGTATTGCTCCTCAAGACGAAGGTCCCACAGCATGACGAGACCTCCACAATGCTGTGCCAGAGCTTTGCCGAGGCTTCCCGCTGCCGGAGAAGATCTCAATGTACACGTGCTCTGTGGGCCCAGCAGGGACACTTATAAGGCAGGCCACACACCACGGAGCGGATGTTTCGGCTGGCCTCCAGCGCTTTTTGCCGCGTTGCCTTGGAGAGGGCCTGCATCTGCTGGGTGACGCGCCCCCCCTTTCTCGTAACGGCGCACACTGCTGAAGCTGCGCCAGCGCCCGCGCTTTTGTACTTCCTGCAAGTTCCGAAGTCCCAACAGAATGTCGCGGCTCGGACCTCCATGGCGAAGACGGTATGGGTGGGGGTCGCCCACCGCTGCTTCCATGCCGTATCGGCTCCCCACACTTTGCATGAAGCTCCGCACCGTCTCCAGATCCACTGAAAACAATGGCTCCGAAGTGCCTCGATGGCCCACCTTGAGCAGCCGGAAAGTCTGCTCGGCGATCCACACAATCTCTGAGAGGTCGAACAAGACAGTCTCGTCGAACTCCCCTGTCTTGGACGGCGTCCCCTGCTCCAGCGGGTGAAGGATTAGCGACCACGCAGTGACGACCCCAATCGGCGGCACCAGACCGCCCACCAACAGTCTGGCCACTTCTCCCGGTCTCAGGTAGGTCACAAAGGCGAGCAATATATAAAGGGCCACTTCGATCATGTTGCGGGTGACGGCCTCCATAGCCATCAAGCACGCGACTTCCCAAGGTAGCGGAAGCCTCGACTTTGGCGGGTCCAGTCGACGCCACCCTGCAAGAGTTTGCTTCGCCAGGTCCAACCCGCCTCTGCTGCCTCGAAGGTGGGGCTGGTAGAACTGAATCGCGGCAATGAGGTACTGGCCCTGGCTCAACTCCTCGCCCTCGTCGAACAAGTCCTCCAAGACCTGGCTCGCCGCAAAAACAAGGTCGCTGGCTGAGTACTTCTCGGTCACGCTCAGCCCTGCCGCCGTGCACATCCGCCTCCACAGTTTGCTGTACCGCTCCCTGCAACCCCGGCTTACCGACGCCTCCGCCAGCGTCCCGAACTCCTGCCTCACTTTGGCCCGGGCCTTCGCACGGGCTTTCTTCACATGTTGCAGACTGGGACCCACAGGACGGTTGCGGCTGGCTGGTGGTCGCGCTCGGGCTTTGGCTGCGGCCTTGGGCAGCTGGACAAACTTGTGCACCACCACGGGTCACCTCGGGGCTTGATGGAAACAAAGAGCCACGTGATGGCCCGTCCGCGCCACTCCGAGGGGATGAACCTGAACTGGACACTGATGCCCGAGCACAAGCACAGGCAGGCTAGCTGTTGAGTCACCCGGCGCATTCCGAAAGAGCGCCCCCGGCCTCGATCAAGAGCGCAGATGGCCGCGGTAGAATCGGACAGGATGAGATGCCGCTTGTGAAAGGAAGTCACATTGCGCAGCAGTCGTTTCACAGCAAACAAAGATGCCCTCCCCTCTAGAACCGGCATGCCCTCTTGTCGCTTCCACTTATATCGCCCCACTACACGCCATTTACGATCAACTTGGCCGGGCGCAACCGGCACGAATCTATCAGAAAGCAACTTGCCCTCAACGACCGACAGGGGTACGGGCCGCGCCTTGGCATTGCCGTCTCCGATGTGGGCCCACTGTAGGCTGCGAGCCTCATCAGAATCGTCATCGATAGCGGCAGCACCAAAAGCACTTGCACGGGGACAGCGGTACTCGGGGATCTCAAACCTCCATCGTTCCGAATACTTTCCTAATTGGCGAACCTCCGCAACGTAAAAAAGTCGGTCGCTACGGCACCCAAGCCCCACGTTGGCATCGACCGCAGAGACCTCCGATGACCAGGGAATCCAGAAATCTCTCCAAAGCAAAGGCGCGATTGAGGTCCAGATCAGCAATTCTCTTCTCACGCTAGGCCAAAAACGATGATTCTGCTCATAGTGGGTACGAACAAAAGTATACGACTCACCAAATACGGATAAAGCTTCACGGCGACCTAGGGCAATAAAGGTTGCGTGCCCGAGCACCTTTTCGAGCTGTTTGCCACTGCAAGTGCCACGGTCCAGCAAAAACCGGATAGCAGCAATGAGGCGCCACACCCGGTGGGACAAGGGCCGGAGCTTCTTTCCTTGAAAACACCATCCCAAAACCTTGATGTTCCCCTCGCCGCTCTCAACCTCATGCACCACCAAACCTTTGTCCCTCAAGGCTTGCACCCCTGCTGCCGCAAGTGCCTCGACTTGATCTTTGGCCGTGCCAATGCACACGAAATTGTCGACATATTCTAAGTGCATGCACTCCGGAGACGGTACCGAGGCGCGATCCTCGAGGCACTTTTCGGCTGTGGCCCCAACATTCGCCACGACCCGCTGATGGATGTTTTGGCACCACCACAAGGCGTGCGTCCAACCCATCGGCAACACCTTCAGGCGCGGGAAAATTAAGGAGGACGCTCTCAAAGTCTTACCGCCCAAAGCGTTGATGCTGAGGTCGCCCTCAGATAGGGGCCGCATACCGAAATAAGGCCGAAGCTGAGAAGGGAGCTCGAAGTGGTAGAAGGCGTCCTTCAGGTCGGCAGTGGAAATGTAGAGGTCGCGGTCCGTGCCACCCAAGTCGATGCGGCTGAGAACCTCGGCCGTCGCCAAGTTCAGGTTGTCAGGAGGGGCAAACCAGGCATTCGACCGCCGACAATCCACCACCATCCGAAGCCGACCGTCCTTCTTCCGCACAAAGAAAGCCTCGACCTTCTCCACGGGCTCCTCAACGGTGAACTCGACGAGGCCACCATCCCAAAGCCGCCGAACAAAATCACGATACACCCGGGCCTCCAAAAGTCGGGGGTCCGAGTAGCACTTCACCACCCCAGTCCTCCGCAAATTGTGCAGGGCCTCATTCTTCTGCAAAAGCCGAGTTGAGATGAAGTCCTCAACGATGTTCATCCCATCGCCTCCGAGAAGCGAATGGAGAGGCACAGGTGGCACCTCACCGGTCGGCAGGCTCAGAAGGCTGGGCTCGTACGAGGCGACGAGTGGCGGGGCTTGGTCCTCCCCGTACCCGTGAAGCTGCCGAAGCGCCTCTCGACCACTGAGCTCCTGATCGGGAGCCCCCAAAAGATGCACCGAATTTCGAATGTGTTCCAAGGCAGCCAGCTGCGCCCGTGAAGGAGCCTGGGTCGGCGACTTCGCTTTTCCAAACTTCTCCCCACTATACAAAGCATTGAGCCCCCGAACACAATCAGTAACCATACTCTCCTGGTGCCACCTCCGCTCCAGGCGGCGCTTGACACGCCTTGAACCGTCAAAGCCGCCGTCGAACGAAGCTGCCGGCACCGGCAAAGGAAAAATGTCTCTGGGGACGCGACGTGCGTCGCCAGATAAAAAGGGAGTTCTCATAGCCGCCTGCGATGCACCCCCAACAGCCGCAGGCGGAGCCCAGCGCAGGGGTTTCCACCACCCTTCTTCTTGGCCAGGTCCCGCTCCTCGCGGGCTTTCCTGAGGTTCTTCGAGAGCTCCACCTCCTGCTTCACATGCTCCAGCAAGGATGGCGCGATCATCAAGGTCCCGGCCTGCCGAAATAAAGAACCGAAAGTGTACTGCTCCTCTAAGCTGAGCTTGCCTCCGACCGTCTTCGATTCGATCCCCCGGGCCCTCTCTGAGTGAGCGTACTCGATTGTCTGGACCCGCCTGAACATGAGCTCCACCCCGTAGCAGTTGCAAGCATCTACCTGGTCAACTTGGATCAGTTGCCGAAGGAACATGCTGGTCTGAAAGTGCTCCTGGACCCCCCAACCACCGGCATCGATGCGGCAGAGCTGTCTGAATCTTTCATGGTGTGCTTCGAATCCAAGCCCCTCTGCCATGAGGTAGTTCAAGCACCCGTTCGCGGGCCTCCAACATCTCAACTTCCCTCGAAGCAGCCGCCACCTCCGAAAGCGGTCGCTCTGGCTGCCCCACGGTGTTGAAGCCTCGGGCCAGGATACGACCATCACATGCGGCCGGCCGACTGTTGAAAGCCAGGCGGGAGGCCTCGCTGATGCACATGCAGAAGAGATCACTGCCATCGGGCATTCGGTGGACTAGCTTGGCTCCCTCGACGGCTGGTGCCACTATGCCTGCAATCACCTCGCCAAACACTGTTGCCGCTGTCCCTTCTGCTGCCACCCACACTAGGCCTCTCCCTGTGAGGTCGCTCGCGCCTATTCCAGCATTTGCGATGGCAGCATTCGAGGGCTGTGCCACGGGCGCGGCAACGGGCTGAACCACGGCTGCTGGAGCAGCTGCGGGAGCTGCCACCATAGCACCTGCACCGGCTCCGACCGGCACACCTCCAGCGCCAGGGGCTCCTGCGGCGACCGCAGCCGCTCCAAGCCCGCGTCTGGTCATCTCCGCATCAAACTCTAACCGCCCAGCTCGCATCACTGCTGCATACTGGGCCGCCGTCATTGGTGCAAACCCGTAAACCTGGTTGGCTGGAACTCCACGAGCGAGCGTGCCATCCGGAGAGTGCCACATGTATTGAATGTCGGGGTTGTGCCGGGCAGGCTCTTCCACATATATGTCGTGATCAGGGGTGACGATCACCCACTCATCACCCTGCACTTGGTCCACCAACAGACGGGTGTGGATCACCCCGGGATCTCCATGATAACGAAGATAGACTATCTCACCGGACTGCATCGTGCCCTAGACTCACTGTTCAGCGATCTGTAGGCCCTTGGGGACGCCGTAGACGCCCTTCCCAGGCTTTCCCTTCACCGAAAAAGTGAACTCCTGGAGCCCAGCCTCGTTCTTGCGAAAAGAGACCCTGAAAGCCAGGCCAAGTTGGTCGCCAAAAGCCCAGCCAGCCCGAGACAGACTAGCCACAACCAGGCACCTTCCCCGGCTGAGCGATCAGGAGAGCTCACCGCGCAATGACACACACAGGGCCGAACGTCAGGCTCACGGCTCCCGGTCTTCAGCCAGATCCCAAGCAGCAGTCCTGCAGCAGCGCCTCCCACGTGGTAGGCGTCCATGCTATGCTCCTGCCCTTTTTTGATCTTGAAAATTTCCGCGGCGGCCCGTGCACGTGCCAAGCTATGCAAACACGTTCAGAGAACTCTAATGCAGCAAACAGCCCCATCCACCAACGAACACGAACAGCAACACACCAACACCCAACACACGCAACACAACACACCAACACAACAACTCACCCAGGGTGACCTGCGGACTGGAACCTGTCCTGGGGCGGACAGGGGACCTGCGGCCGGGACCTGGAGAGCTGCGGGGGGGACCTGCTGCCGAGACCTGTCGTGAACAGAAACTGCATGCTGGGACCAGGCCTGCTCCGTACCTGAATCCGGCCTGGGGCCGATCCGAAACTGACCACATCCTGATCCGAAACTGACAAGTAGCCGATCCGAAACTGACCCGGGCCTGATCCGAAACTGACCCGGGCCCGTTCCGAAACTGACCCGGGCCCGATCCGAAACTCAGCCCCGAAACTCAACACCGAAACTGACCCTGAGGACCCTGAAACTCGCAACTTCCGGGTTGCAAAGATGTTCGACCTGTCTGCAGTTGTTGTTGTCAGGGCTCCACGTTTCCGTTTGCAGAGACCATGCACGATGTATGCAATCTCAAAGGTTGCCTGAGGGCTCGAGGGTTTAGGATATTATTGGACTTTGCCCTGCCCCTGCTTTTTGTCACGGAGAGCGGCCATCTTTCACACATTGATAGACCATGGAAGACTTCGGCGCTCAAAACTTCTCCCGATGGAGCATCTCTTGTATACTCGCCTGCCTGAATCCCCAACCGCAGAGACCTTGCAAGAATCCCAAGAAGCTTAAACCCCAAACCCTAAACCTTAAACCCTAAACCCCGAAGCCCTAAACCAAGAATCCCAACAAGCCGCAAACATCGAAACCCGAAGGACACTCTTAGCCAAGACCCGTCGTGGACAAAAGAGAGAAACCTGACATCTACAGTGTTGACTGCATACCATACCTGCCGAAAGAACTTCATAAAGAACAAAGTTTTGATGTAAATGACGGAATAACCTCCTCTGTAAGACATGGCATGTGAGGGAAGAGTCTCATTCAGGCCTCCGCATTATCTGTACTTCTGAAGCAAAGCAGACTCTCAGCCATTGAACCTCCTACGCCCAAGACGCGCTGTACAGACCCCGAAACAGTGATGAATGAACTCCCCGAGTCTTGGGAGACGTCTGGAGTCATTTAGCTTCCAATGGTATTGAGAACTTTTCTACCAAGCAAGCAGAGCGAGCCCCGTGCGAATCTCGCATTTGTGGACAGCATATTTCCGCACTCTGATCTCGAAATGCTACTTGCTACTCCTTCAAATTTCTTCAACAACGCCAGCACCAGCACCAGCACCAGCAACAACAACTCCCACTCCCACTCCCACTACCCCTCCTCCTCCTCCTCCTCCTACTACTACTTCTACTACCAGTACTAATACTAGTACGACTGCCACTACGACGACGACGCCGATTACTGCTACCACCGCCCCGGCCCCCGCCACCGCCACCAATACCACCACGACAACTGACGTATGCTCGTCTGCAACGAATGGCGATGGCCAGTGACGGCCAGAATGGCAAATACACTCGTCATTGGCATCTTATTTAGTATTATGATTACCACTATTAGTACTATTACTATTGTGACTAATATAGTCGTCGCCAGCAAAGCCATGATCCGAATCGTTCTATCGTTGATGCCATTACCGGCACCGCAACATCAGCACCATCATCACCATAAGCAACAGCATAAAACCAAAAGGATCAGGATCAGCATCGGCTCTTGTTTCTAGTTCAATCCTCATCGTTATCGCCGTGAGCATCGTCATGTTTTCATGTTTCTCTGAGTGTTGCACCATCGTCACATAAATCATCAGCACCACCATCCTCGCCCTAATCGTCATCATCATCATCATCGTCCTGGCAGTAGCCGTCAAACTCTGATCAGGTCAACCACCATTATCAGCACGCTTGTTACCCTGTGATTGTCCTGCTTGCTCCACTTGCCTTTCCCAATGCGGCGTGAGATCATTCCTGTACAGCACGACACAGCCTTGCCTGGAGAGGTCGGGCAATGCTCTGCTCGGCAATTTTAGTTGACTTTCCAACACTTTCGCCAGGATTGTCGTCTGAGTGTACGATTCTAGAAGATCGCGGCTGTTCAAGTGGGATGAAGCATCAAATCCCCATCTCTCAAGACCCTTCGAGATAGTATCTTGTCCCATCTGACATGCCAGCAACTACAGCGCTGCATATTATGTCCTAGCTTAAACATGCTGATAGTGCTTTCTTTGGGGCAAACTTTTAGAGGGCCAGCCAGCGGCGAGCTTGTCATGCTTCAGACAAATCTGCATCCTTGTACCCAGTATCACTGCCCCTCGCCTTGTATGCTAAACGCCCCATCAAGGGTGCCATCAGCCGGAACCATGCTCCAGGCGCACGAGCCAGCTGCCTTCCTTAGGACCTTTCAAGCCCCTTCTACCTCTGGGCCCACTTTCCACAAGTAAAAGCACTCACGACCAGCGATGCGTGGCTACTCCCAGTCTTGCTCCTACTACTGCTTCCTGCTAGCCATACCACTACCACGACGAGTAGAGTAGCAATAGCAGCAGCAATAGCAGCAGCCGCAGCGTAGCAGTAGCAGCAGTAGCAGTAGCAGCAGCAGCAGCAGCAGCAGCAGCAGCAGTAGCAGTAGCAGTAGCAGTAGCAGTAACGTCTGCAGTAGCAGTACGCGATCGCGGAGGCGTAGGAGTAGGAGGAGTAGCAGTAGCAGTAGCAGTAGGAGAAGTAGCAGTAGTAGTAGTAGTAGTAGTAGTAGCAGCAGCAATAAGTAGTAGTAAGTAGTAATGAGTCGTAAGTCGTAAGTGGCAAGTCGTAAATGGTAAGTGGCAAGCAGTAAGTAGTAGGTAGTAGGCAGTAGGTAGTGGGTAGTGGGTAGTAGGCAGTAGCAGTAGTAGTAGCAGCAGCAGCAGTGGTTGTATTTGCAGCCGTAATATAGTAGTAGTAGCAGCAGCAGTAGTGGCAGCAGTAGTGGTACTACTACTTCTACTGCTACTACTACTACGACTACTACTTCTACTACTTCTTCTACTACTACTACTACTACTACTACTACTAGTGCCACTCGTACCCCTGCTCCTACTCCTACTGTGACGATGACGACTTGCGAGTAGTATTACATGAGTACTGGTCTAACTCCCAATTGACGCTGATCTGATGCCCTGAAATCCAACCAGCGAGCGGTACACTGTAGCTTCCTGTTGTTCCTCATTCCTGCTTGAGACCCTTACCACCTCTGCCGACTTTCATGTTACTCTGCTGCCAGACACAAATCTAAAGTCTCGCCGCGGGCGTTCCTGGTTGCACTATATTTTGCTATTCAGAGGGCTTCCATCATGGTCTTCTTTTGGGTCGAAGGGGTGTCTCTGCTGGTGGCACAGTAGTCGAAGTCTTTCGCACACCTGGCTTCATGAATCGCCAACTGCTTTGACAGCAAAACCCCCAAAACCGTACTATAGGGGCCTAAATAATTACCAATACTATTTCGGGGGTTACTTATTATAAATATAGTATAATGGGCCCCCAAACCCTATTCTAATTGTTAAGGCCCCTACATTGGCGCGACAGTGATTCCTCTACCGTGCCTCCAGCAAGCTGAGTAATCTGAGCCGCTCGTTTGAAACGCGGCAGGGTGGACATGGGCGAAATCCGCAAAGTCGCCCACTGGGGTTTTTCCAAAACTTCTGACCAGTGCTACTACATCGGCCCGACGGGGCCTGGCTTTGCAGGGTTGTTGATAAGTTGTTGAAGCTTGCAATTATGCCTTCACGAACTAGTTAGTTCATGCACTCTCTCTCTCTCTCTCCCTCTCTCTCTCTCTCTCTCTCTCTCTCTCTCTCTCTCTCTCTCTCTCTCTTCTTCCGCCGGGCATGAGGGGCTGTTGAGACCCCTCGGCCACTAGGGCCCCCCCCCCATATTTTGTGGGGATTTTGGAGGAGTGTGAGAATTTTGTTGATGATTCTCACCCGGTTGATCATGTAAGTTCTCTCTCTCTCTCTCTCTCTCTCTCTCTTCTTCCGCCGGGCATGAGGGGCTGTTGAGACCCCTCGGCCACTAGGGCCCCCCCATATTTTGTTGGGATTTTGCAGGAGTATTTTGTTGGGATTTTGGAGGAGTGTGAGAATTTTGTTGATGATTCTCCCCCGGTTGATCATGTAAGTTCTCTCTCTCTCTCTCTCTCTCTCTCTCCCTCCCCCTCTTGAGAACATGGAATCCGTCGGGCAGGCTGTCAGATACCTTGAGGATCTGAGTCTCAGGGTGTCATAGCTATGATTTAAGATGATGATGTAGATGAAACTGGACGGCACGGAACGGCGGTTTAAGCAAGATCAATACATTCCGCCCATGCCCCCCTGCATGCCGCTGCCCATGCACGGCTGCTGACCGCCATACTGCTGCATGGGGTCTGCACCTAGGCAAACACAGTTCAATTTGTGTTTTTGGCTTGACTTAACGTCTGCTGGCATGGGACATAAAGAGAAACCAAAAGAAATCACTGGCCCCCATACCTTATGCTGGATTGCCAAATGGAAACCGACTATATCAACGTGCATAAAGAAAAGTCCCGATTTCCGCAGGGCACTCCTCAACTCTGAACGAATTCAGGGTGTTGACTGTCAGATATGGCATGGGTTTAGGATGTCGTGAGAAGCACTCATTGTCCGGCTTCCGATCCATGCCCGTGGCCATCCAGGAGGTGTCCACAATCGCAACAGAATGGCACAGCATGGCATGAATGGATGTATGAACCGGTAGTTGTATACATGTATGCACGCACGTATGCACTCAGGCACGTGTGCATGCATACATGCATGCATGCATGCGTACAAGCATGCATTCATGGATGGATGGATGGGGGAGGGACGGACGGAGGGATCCATGTATGTATGGCACGGCGCGGCCCGGGACGGTACGGTAGGGCAAGGTAGGGATTGCAGGGTATTGTATTGTATGGCAGCTCTGTGGTATGGTGCGTATGTCATGGCGCGGCATGCTATGTGTGAGCACGTGCAGCTTTAAATGTGCATTTGTGTTTAAGTGTATGTGCATAGGTATTTGTGCACATGAGAATGCAAACACACCCGCAAGCTGCAGCAGAAAGCACTCTGATCTTTATAGTGTCAACTCGCGACAGTGTCTTATTTGGGGCTCGCAGCCTTGAGTCGAAAAAGACTTTCACTCTCAAGCCCCCTAGCCTAAACCCCAGAAGCTTAAACCCAAAACCTGTAAACCTTATGTGCCAAGGTGCCCATGCCTTGCATGCCCATCATTCCCATGGGCATCATGCCCATTGGGCCCATTCCACCCATACCTGGAAAACTCAGTGGTTCAGGCTGCAAGGTTTGAGGGATCCGAGATCTTCCAAACACATTTAGATGGGTGGTTGTCAAATTTGTGGCCTCTTTTTGGGTACCCTAGATATTAGGTGCCGTATTATAATGATAAGGACCCAAAAAGGGACCCCAATTTTGACAACCACCCAGATCGCGAAAACGAGGTGGTCAAACACAGCAATCCCTAAACTCTAAACCGCTGACATGCTGACTCAGGTCAAGTGGCCGCCCATGCCGCCGTACATGCCCATGGGGTTCATTTGGCCTCAGAGTACTGTTCGTGTGCGAATGTTTTCAGCTGGTGGGTGCCAGCTGACGGATGCCTCCCCGCAAAACCTCAAAGAAAGGAAGTTGAAACTCTAGTTTCAATAGCTAGTTGTTAGTTCCTGGTACAGGTGACGTTTTTCTGGTTCTTCCACGAGGCAACGTCCAACCTGTGAGAGTGGCATCCACTTGTCTGGCTTCCACAAGCACCAATTACTAATTATTCGCAAATCCAACTGCAACAAAACACATGAACTTTTCTTTCCGTTCATACTTAGTACGGCCCATAACAACCGATGGTACTAGGCCGTGCTTCATGTTACTAGGTACACTGCAAGGCCACAACATCCTAAACCCAAGCGAAAGGCCGAAATTGTGTCAACTGCGAATCGCAGAGCAGCTCTGATGGAGAGTGATAGGACTTTCCGAAAAGAGGGGGCCCTAATATAGTATCCTAAATAGTAGGATCCTTAGTACAAAGACCCCACATAAGGTAACCCTCGTTTTCGGAAACTCCCTGATGGCTTCAGTGCAGTGAAGGTTAAGTTAGGGGGGGCAGTGCGCCCCCGCTCCCTGTGACATAAGTAATGGAGCGATGGGGAGAAGGCATGAGGTATGATACCCGGACCTCCACGCAGCAGCAGTGCAGATCAGTCACATCTTCTACATTCCTCAACCCTAAACCCCAAACAACCCTAAACCTCTCAAGCAACCCTAAAGCCTAAAGGTTGGAATCTCAGAGTCGTCAAGTTAGACTTCGGAAGCATCACGATTCACCGAGCCACCCATGCCATATGGGTTAAAGGCTCCCTGGCCACCCTTTCCGCCGCCTCCGCCAAACTTGCCTCGGCATGACGTCCCTAGGTTCCTGAGTGGCCCGTTTACAATACGGGCGCCGCTTTTCCTACCGTTCGGTTTGAGTAAGGGGACCCCAAAATGAAAAGGGCAAAAGGCTACAACCCAGGAGCCTAGTAGACCCTAACCCCTCCCCCCATAGATCCCTTTTTGAACACCCTCAGGAGCCCTTTAAGGAGCCCCCTTTCAGGAGCCCAGGCTTCAACCCTCCATGATGAAATCATACCGAACCTCCCCCCCCCAAAAAACTGCGGGCGCTTGTTGGGGCCCAACCCGAAGCCGAGGTCGCCTTAACATCTTATTTTTCTCATGTGGGTGGTTGTCAAAATTATGGTCCCTTTTTGGGTACCCTAAATATTAGGTGCCGTATTATAATAAGGACCCAAAAAGGGACCCTAGTTTTGACAACCACCCATGTGGCTTTTCGGGATCTACTTCTTCAGAGCCTCACGAAGGCGATAAAAGCTTCAAAGCCGGAGTTGGGGTCTGAGACGTAGCAGAGAACTGAGAACCCCCCCTCCCCGGGGGGCCGTGCTCCTTCTAAACCCTAACCGTACTAATTTCTAGATTCCGAAGCTCAAGCCCACAAGCCTAGAGAAAAAGCCTGAACAAAACTTTATTGGCTGTGGCGATGATCCTGAATTTTTACGTGCATGGTTCCTTTCTTTAGGGTGAGACAACAGGAGGTCAGGCAGGCACTTACTCTCTACCCGTACCACTTTGGATCTGCTTGCTGTCACTACTGTTTTTGGTACCATGACTATCACTGTCACCATTGCTACTAACGTCATTATTGCGATTACTCCACATGTTGCCACGAGCACATCATCCACAAACCTTCCTAAGAACAGTATAAACCCGCACAGACAACTAAAACCGTTCAAGCTGCTACGTATTGTAAGCTTCCCTAAACCCTAAACCCTAAACAAAGCTCAAACAACTTCAAAGTGGCCGAAACCACCTTTGCCGACGCCTTTCTGGCCACTTCCGCCAGACCTGGGTCCCACTCGCTCCCTCTTCGGGTTTACTTCAAGGACAATGGGACTTAGTAAGTGGGGTTATAAATAAGGTAACTATACTTATAAGTACTTATAACCCCAATTAAGGCACTTATGACCTGACTTTTCTACTCTTCCGGGAAGTCCTCCGAAACGCCTGCAGTCACTGTAAACTCCTTCTTCGAGCCTTCTGTCTATTGCTAGGCATTCTTTCTTTCACGATGCAGGTCGTACATACCGCCTGAAAACCCTCAAAACCTTGGACAAGACGAAAGCTCCCTTGCAAACTCAAACATTTGACAGTGAGACTGGAGTCCGCACTTCCTTGTGCAGGGCTCTATGTCAAACGAGTCCGAGGGAACTTGAAAGGCCACTTGGCTCTCACAAGACCAAACTGCCAGTGCCATGCATCGTTGACAAAAATGCACGGCGACGATCAGGACTTCACTGGACCATGCAGATGGTGCTCAAGGCACGATCTTGAGCACAGACAAGGCTTAGATAATCATCACCCAAGGAGCACCAGGCACCCGAAAGATGGCTACGGCTAGTGCCACCTGGCGACACATTGCAAGCTTGCATCTGGCCCGGTTTCAGCCGGTTCTCCTGCCAGGAAGTCCGATGTCGACTTGGGTCCGAGGAAAGAACTTAAGGTCTCAGCTGCTGGAGCTCTTCGTGGAGGGCTTGGGGTGGAAGCAGAATGCACAGAGTCGCTGAGAAACTGGGCTTAGGAAGGGCGTAGCTGAGAAGGACTTGTAAAGCATACTGTCTTCAAGCTGGGGCTTCTGGTTCAAGGCAGACTCACCAGAAACTTGTAGCGGTTCAGGAGCATTTCAGTGGTGGTCTAGCTCCTTCCTCGTGTTTGCCATGCTGGCATCATGCAGCAGCAAACCTTTAATCCCAAATGCCCAAGCCGAACAGCACAGTGACACTGCCTTGTCTAGGAAGGCCAATGCTTCCCTTTGCAGTACTTGTATCACGGCTAGAAGCTGGAGCCAGTGTCTGTTTTCGTTATTGCCACGACGATTATGCCTAGCTGCTGGATACCACTGCGTTACTTGTATCCTCGGTCTTCGTCAAGACTAGCCCAGGAAGCAAGACAAGTGGCTCACCAACCGGGGCGCCTGAATACGTTGCGTCCTTTGGCTCCTAAAGCCCTAAAGCTCTCTTGTCCCTAAACACCTAAACCCTTAAACTAAACCCTGTCTTGCTACTTGTTGCCTGTAGCTGAACAAGGAAATTCCACCTCGACGTCGAAGCGGACCACATCCCCTTGCTGGGGAATGCTCCCATCGACCACGGACTTGGCAGCAAGGGAGTTGAGTGCTTGGGATTTAGGGGCTTCGGGCACACATCCGTTGCATCGTGTTTCTTTTTCTGCTTTTGGTCGAATTTTTCCGAGCTTTGATTAAGGGCCTTACTAAGCGGTTCTGTTGAGTTGGGAGCATGCGGCGACTCTGTATATAGCTTTTTGCGCTCGCAACTCGGACCAAGGCCAATCGCACTCATCTGGTCCAACTGTTGGAAACAATGAGTCTCGCTTGTCTAAGGTCTATACGACGAAGGCCTGTGCTTGTGCAGGCATGAGGATAAACATGCGCGAGTCATGAGACTGTACAGCTTGGGCAGTGAAGCTGTGCTCGTGCTCACCCAAGTCTCTGTGCGCATAGAGACACCGCACCGTGCATTTCTGGCATGCCAGCCCAGGAACGTCTTTGAAGCTGAGGACCAGGTCGTGGGAGGTCTGATCATGGTTCATAAGAAGTACCGCGATCCGGCCGCCACCCAAGGGCTTGTAGAAGAACTGCCATGTGGGAACCGTTACGTAGTGGCCGTCATCCTTGAGTGTCACCTGAGATGCAGACTGCTTGAATGGGCTCCCGCTGTGACCCGCATACGCTTGGTTCACAGCGATGACTTCTTTGTTGGACACGATGCCCCACACTGCATTCATGACTTCATCGTCGTTGATGTCCATGGACAACGTCAGCGGCGAGGAGACGATGGACCAGGCGCTGAAGTGGCTCCGCGCCTCTTGGTAGCTCAAGCCCGGATCGCGGTCCCCCCCAGGACCATGCTTGCAACCCACCTGCAGCTTCTCGAGAAATCCCCCCACTTATATCAAAGCCGACCTACACCGTTGCCTACGACTGGTAAGTAACCCTATCGCAGGCAAAAAGAGGGCCAAGATTTGGAACTGCCATCACCTCCAACATGTCTGGGTAGGCCCAACAACCGGGCCGAGAAAGATTCCTCTGCGCCCACTGCACTGTCGTCTGAAGATTGGCGACCACGCTCCCGTAGGAGGCCCGTACATCGCCCGAGGTCCTGAAGAAGTTCCAGGGGCACCAGGTCTCCGTAGGCACCGTCTTGCCCCAGTGGCAGTTCTCAATCATCACCCTCCGTCCAGTTGCGTTGATGAGACCGGCCCACTTGTCGAGGTCATGCTGCGCCCCGCAATTATCCAGCTTGATTGCGTCAAAACCGAATGCCACTAGTGCAGCAACATCTTTGTCGTACATGGAGTCGATGACTTCTTTCTCCGGGCACGTGCAGCCGTTGAGATACCAGCCGGCTGTCAAGCCAAGCCGATGGGCATGCTCTGTCATGGATGTGATGTTGGGAAAGCGCGCCAGCCAAACGAGCGGCTTGCCTGAGTCGTCGTGGTAATGGAACTGGTGTCCTCCGGTGCAGTCTTCCCAGCCTTCGTCCAGCCCAACATTGCAGTATCCCAAGTCACAGAGAGATGTCGGAGTGCCATCCACGGAACGCTTTTTGGAGACCATGCCGTCCATGATGGCTTGCAGGAATGTCTGATTCGTGTTGTTCCCAAATAAGTTCCAAGACCTCCAGCCCATCGGTGGAGTACGGCCAAGCCCGTTGTCGATGGCCATCCCCGGTGTGGCGAAGATAGCAAGCGCGAGAAGCTGAGAGCGAGACATGCTTGGGCGGCGTTGGCCAGAAGCTGGCTTGCCTGCGCCTAAGGGCCTAACAGAGCCAAAACCTCGGGCGGGCGACCTTGTGATAGACAAGTTAAATCATCACTTCACGCCTCGGCACTTGGTTCAGGAAAGCCGCACTCTTAGAGTCTGAAGGGGTTGCGGTTACAGCAAGTTGCTTTCTATCCTTTGGCTCTGACCCGACTGTCAGTGGATCGCTTCTTCCTTGACCACAACAGTGGTTCTACCAGTCAAACTCCGTCCAATATCCCTCAACTGGGGTCCCTTGTGAACGAACTCTCCCTGAACCTAAGGCCTCTGCACAGGCCTAAGAGCAAGGAGCCATCAAACAAAGTACTAGTAGTAGTTGTCGTAGTAGTAGCAGCAGTAGTCGTCGTCGTAGTAGTAGTAGTAGTAGTAGCAGTAGCAGTAGCAGTAGCAGCAGCAGTAGTAGTAGTAGTAGTAGCAGTGATAGTATACAAAGCAATGAGATTGTGTGTAATCGTGAAACTATCAATGACAACAACAGAAGCTACTCTTCGTTCTGTGCTGCCACCTTGATGTGCATGAAGAGGTCGGAGCCATCCGAAAGCGTGATGAAGCCGAAGCCCTGATCCAAGGGCGTCTTAGGGCCAAAAACTACCTGATGCCCTAAACCCTCAACCCGACCTGGGTGTTTCAGTATGTCCGAAACCCTGGAACCGAAGATGCCTCAGCTCCCAAACCCTGACACATCAGGCGTACTGCTCCACAGGAAACCTAAGACTTCAGGCTTTGGGGGTTTAGGAGTTTAGGACCTAAGCCTTCATGGGAATAGTCGCATTCCCAATCTTACCCCGATACATCCCAAAGGTTCCTGTGGTCGGAATATGCGTGGGCGTGAACGTCATTCATGAATAATCGGCGTTCACCTACCCAGCCTTGGGGTGCATTTCCGCCGCACGCTCTGCCATGATTCTCGGGTTCAAAATCCCGATCTCTTTTGAAGATGATGTCGAATGCAGAATTGGACTCGGGTTTGGGGGCATCTTTTACCGTACGTAAATACAACAAGGATCCTGTTGGAGTCATGCTGTTACGATTATGGGGAACCCTGAACAAAATTATTGGCTATGTCACACAGGTAAGAGGTCAGCGTCGTGTTCGCCCGGGGTCCTGCGTTCCAACCTAGCACGCATCTTCCGTTTTGTTGAAGAGGCCGCGGCCTTTCAACCCTCAACCCTACACTCAAAAGCCCCAAGCCCTCAAAACACTTCACGGCCCACCAAAAACCCAAAGCCTCAAACCCTTAAAGCCCCACACACTCAAATCCCACACCCTGGGACGCCTGCCTAAACCCTGACGTCACAAATCGCCCTGCCTTGTCTTCTCGGAAATTCTTGACCGTTCCCTGGTTAGCTCCCGGCTTTCCTCGAAGGGACGAAACAAGTCCGTCGAGACAGGAAAGCTGTAGAAAGCTTGTTAGGCTACGGGTTTAGATTTATGGTTTTAAGTTGGAGTTCAGGGTCGAGGGCTGTTAAAAGATCAGGCCCTACCTTTTTGTGGACACAGAACCAGGGATGTCTCGTTCCGCTTTGCGCGTTTGCTAGACTTCAAGAGGCATCTTTCCTGGGGCTCAGATGAACCTTGGCTGTTTGTTGTTGCTGCTGGCTAAAGCATCCGCAGTCTTGAGTGTCTGAGGGTTGACATAAAGTACAAGTAGCAAGACAATTTGTGGCGTGGGGGTTCAAGTTAAGCTCATGCTCAATTAGGGCTCAAGCCTGACACCCTCGGCCCTGAACCCTGCAACATCTTTGGACCAGCACCGGCACCAGCAACAGGTAGCATCCTTAATCTTCGACTGTGCTGGCACCTTGGTCTTCAGGACTTAAAGCACCCGGGCCATGGGAGAGTCTTTACAAGGCACTTACACACAATAGCAAACATCACCTCATACCAACACTGCCACCTTCCGCCAAGTCGCCGCTTCCTTTGCCACCTCCTGACACAAGTCGCAGGATTTTCCAAGACTCCGAGAAGCCAACGACTCCGAATCCCATAGCCCAAAAGGGATTTAGGGCTTCGAGACAGCACAGCGGTTCGGGGCTTGTGATGGGAGGCCAAAAGGGGGGTTTAAGATTCTCGGGGTAGGGATTCCTTAATATGAACCCTATCATGGGAACCAACCCTAATCCCTACTAAACCCCCCATAGGCTAGCACCCCTTTTGGCCTCCTATGAGCTTGTTTCAGCTTCTTCCCCGAAGCCTTAGCCCTGAACGCTCTCCTGGCTGCCCGGTGCCGCCGCTGACATTGATGGCCTGCATCTGTCCTCGCAGATGCACTGACGGGTTTAAACCTTTAGCTGGGATTTTAGGGGGCGGCGGTTCTGGGGCTTGAACTCTAAAGCTGGGTTTACGGCCGAGGGCCTGTGAGAGATTTGATCCAAAGCAGAGCTGAAGGACCCTGACCATCATTAACAGGACTTGCGAAAACAAAAACACAAAAACCTGATCACGCCGCTTGCATGAGTGACAGAATAACAACAGCAAATCTGAATATGAGCCTTTCCTAATGAAGGGATGCTCGTTGTCGACATTGAATTTCGAATGACGAAGCACTTTTCCTAAGCTTTTCGAGAGTTGGCAGGGCCTGGCTTCACCTTGCTCTCTTCCATGTCGAACTGGACGATGTCATCCTGTAAGGGGTCTTTAAGGGTCCATTAAGAGGTCTTGAAGGCTTCGTTGAAGAGGTCTTTACTCAAGGACCCCAACTCCATGTTGCTTGTCTTTCCTGCTTGTTCACAGGGTGCTTAGGAGGCTCCAGTGGTGACACGGCTTAGGGTACGGCGATGAACCGAGCTTCTGCTGAACAGCCATGGGATGCCGGCATAAGCTGCTCTGCATTCGAGATAGGGTGCGTTGAGGGCTCTACAGTGTGAGCACGTAGTACAGTCTCGAGTCTCGTCTCGCGGGTCCAAGGTTTAGTCTGGTCAAGTCTACCCTCTTTACTTCGACGCAACACTGCATGGCTCTTCTGGCATCCTTCATGTGGAAGGTCCCACTCTACAGGCAAGAGCAAACAAAGCAGGCCACAAACTAAGATGTAGCGATTTGTGCACAAACTGAGCATGATGTAATGGCTTGTGCGTTTATTATACATGGTGTACACGGAGAAGGTCTGGTCAATTATTATACGACCTCAAGAGCCCTTTGCATGTACCCATAAGACGAACAAGAGGACTCGCGCTTGCAATTACTGAGCCTCGAGTTGGAGCGTGCGCCCGAAACTTCGGACTTGCAAGGAGTTGGGTTTCGGGGCACGGACACTCCGCAACTGCACAGCAGTCGCCAGACCTTCACGAGGATGCTACCATCGATGATTGCCTCTGCAGCACGCGGGGGAGGTATGACCGCAAAGTGGCTTCTTGGCTTCTGAGCTGAGATCTGTGTCAAGCGGATGAAGCTGAGTATAGCAGCAATCCCCGCGGTTGCAACGAGCCACAGAACGGATACCTATATGAATCGTATGAACGCTCGTCATTGTCAGCATGACCATCGCCATCGGCAGTCAGCATCAGCTCATAATCATCATCGCCTTTTTGACGTTCTTCAGGGGCCCGCACCGGGCGCTGCATCGTCGAGTCATCACGAAGGCGATAATAGGCAACGGTGATAACGGCAATGAAAATCGCAGTAGTGGTCGGGCGTACTAGACGCGACAGCGGCTGCAACGGCAAACACGATTCTTAAGACCACCCAAGCCAATGCCACCCAAGATTTGGGCTTCGGCATAATAAAAACTAGCAGTAGCCGCAACCAAGTGGGACACACTGCGAGCAATCCTTGCACTAATGACAAACTGCCGACACGACCGGCACATCGAAGGCATGTAGTAGTGCTCAAGCTAAACCCTGAAAAGAAACCGGACTCAAATCCGGCCCAAGGAGGCCTTGACGTGCACAAAAATCTCGCTGGAGTCCGGTCTTATGATAAAGCCGAAGCCCTTGTCCTTCGGGAACATACATGGATTTGAAGTTAATAGTTTGAGACCTCGAGCATTTAGTGTACTTAGGACTTGCAGCTTCGCCAGAATAGAAGTGTCTGGACGCAACTGTGAGATTCGAACATGCGAGCCAGGAAGCACCAACGCGTGACATGCAAATCTGATATCACTGTCCTAGCTCCTCCCCTCCTCCCGTATGCGTTTACTTTACTGTATAATACATATGTATATTCAGCATTATGTGCTATATCATATCGCCTCTGTGCCGCATGCATTGTCCTAGCTGTCCTGGAGTTGTACTAGTGATGTCTGTTGTCTCTTCTCGATGGCGATGCTTCGGCGATGATGATGGCGATAACGATCTGATAATGAACCTAGCAAGGTGGCCCCGCTTCAATGCTCCCTGAGCTCCAGAATTCTTGCCGTTCCTTTTCCTGCTCCATCATGGGATGCAACGCTGATAGTGTTACTATGAGGGGTTCTTTAATGACATACTAAGGGTTCGGGTTTCGGATTACTGTAAGCGTTGAATAGGGACAGGACTCAGGTTTTCGGGTTGTGGTCCGGTAAGCTTGCCAGTGCTGCTACTTTTCCTGCGGGCAGGGCTGGAGGTAGCTGGACAAACTCCCAATGCAACTTAGAACGATAGCTAGAATTAGTCGAACCGAACGGTGCACGGCTGTGTCCTCTCGGAAAGACTTCACCTGCAGCAGCATTTGTGCACGGGAGGCTGGGGTATTCAAGTTCATCTTCAGGATAAGTCCACTGTCAAACATTGTCCCAAGATCTCCGACCCAGCAGCATGAGCCACACTGCAAAGCCGTCAGCAGGAGATTGAATGCTTTCGGACTTTCACTCGCATCTCTACAAAGCCCTCCTGCCGGTCAGAGCATTGCCGGTTCTGCGGCTATCTTGAGCTGGGGACTTCGACGCTTGAGGGCTTAAGGCTTCAGGATCTGACCAGGGCTTCAGCCACAGCTCAAAGCCCAAGCAAGGGAAACTCGAGGACACCCCAAAAGCCGAAACTCGAAACACCAACCGGTACATTGCAAACCTGCAGAAAACTGCAGCCAAGGGGCAGTGCCCTGGTAGGCCATGGTTCAGTGTTTGAACGTTTTATGGGAGCCTTTTATTTGAGTGGGGGCCAGACGTCTGCGAACGTTCAGCATTCCACATCTGCATGGACCGAGGATGCAGCATTCAGCTGCAGGGCATAACATCAGTTTGGAGTTGCAGTAACAATGCGAGGTCTGGTGGCGCACATGCTGAAAGTTGCGTCACGCTAGCACATTAACGGAGTCAGCCATGTTGCCCTGCTCACGAAACTAGTCTCCCTGCCTTTATCAGAACCCCACATCAGCATCCTCCGCCGCATTGCGTGTCGAACCTCTATACGCTGACGCCACTGGACAAAAAGCAACTCATTGTTCGAAACCGCCTTCTCTCACCACGTGCTTCTTTTCTCACTTCGCACGCGGTCTCCTGTCTCACGTGCACGTAGTCACTTCGCTAGAAACAACCGAGACAGCTCTGAAACCAAATGCAACATACAGAGGCCACACCATAACACACTCTTACAGCTCCAAACGTCCAACTTCTCAGCGCTAAGCTGAACACTTAGTGAACTTGTCTAGGGCCTGGGACACTGAGACCCTCGAGCAGGAGTCGCGGCGTTCACCCCACAGCATTCGAGACGACCACTCCGACCAAGCTGAAGCCTCGGCCGCTTCGGGAGTCGCACGGTTGAAGTTTAGGCTTCTTTTTTAAAAAAGTTTAGGGTTTAGGGGGTTTAGGTTGTAGAGCCGCAGAGTTATTTTCGAGCTAGGGAGGAGCTTTGGGATGCACGGAGGTTGCTTTCGCTAGCTTTGGGCTCTCTTATACTTCAAGGTGGCTTGACCTGCTTTTGGATCTGACGGAGCTGGCTTGAGGATGCAGGGACAGTATCCCTACTCGAACCCGCGCGAGTGATTTCGATTAAAAGAAAGGATGGTGAACTTCTCTGGATTCCAGTGCCCAGTGGCTACGATGAGTGCGCAATAGAACAAACGACTTGTGAAGTCAGGAGTCCGCACACCAAGCGGAATACCACGCTTAGGCAGGCTACCGCGACAGGAGCTCTAGTGGCGGCCTCCATCATGGTATAGCGGTCGTGATGTTGGTAGCATTTGCAGCAGCAGGGTCGTAGTCAGAGTCATCATAGCAGCAGTCGTCGATGTAGTAGGGGCAGTAGTCGCCGTCGTACTTGTCGCATTACTTTGTCGCGGCATTTCTAGACATACTTTCAATTAATACAATCCTAGTACAGCAGTGGGAGCAGGAGCAGGTAGCAGCTGTCAGTAGGAGTAGCAGCGGTAGCGCCGGCAGTAATGGAACCACCAGCAGTAGTAGCGCTAATAATCACTACGTACTTGGATGTGGCACTGGCTTTCGCCGTCTTGCTTCTACTTCTCACGACGAAGACGACGACTACTCCTACTCTACTCCACTCTACTCGACTCTGCTTTCAGATACCGAGGCACAGAAGTGGACCATGAGGCAGAAGATGAACAGCCTTGCATCCGAAAGGGGTAAATTACGACTCCTGTGGTCGCCGTCTCCTCGTCACTAACCTCGTAGTTTTCGAATCATATATCATCGGGTGATAGGTATAGGCCGAGCTGAGCCACCTTAACGATACGATGCATACGCTCTACATCATGAAGTCTTTAGCAAGGAACTCATGTGGCTTTTGAACAAGCGGCCTTCCGAATAACAGCCCCCCCCCCCCCGCGTGACATGCCCTTCCGCAAAGAGTTTGTCTTCAAGATCGTCTTGTGACTGCCAGTTCCAGTATCGTAAGTCCGATACGTCCAGATGCTGCTAGAACTATGGTCATGAAGGTGGCAGCATTGTTGTAGTCATGATGGTGGCAGTGGGAAAGACGATGATTACGATGATTACGATGATCATTACCATCCTCATCAATATCATCACCACCATCATCATCACGATGATCATGAGGATGGTGATGATCATTAATGTTATCATCATTACCATCATCATGATTTTGGTCAGGATGATGGCACTACTGATGCTATTGGGGTGCTGATGCTGCTCTTGATGGAAGTCTTGATTGCGACTCTTGATGGTGCTAGTGCTGATGGCGATGATGGCGAATGCTGATGCTGAAGAAGACGAGGCTGATGCCGCTGCGTGGCTTGATACTCTGGATTTGGGGTCGCAGGTCAAAGGCTGACTACTGACTCTTCCGCAAAGCTTTATCCCAAACTTCAGCAGCTGCACCCCTGGTCCCTGAAGAATATCTGTTTCAGCGCCATCTGGGCTTCTCCAAAACTTCGCCAAAAGATGCAGACATGCTCATCTCCAGATCTCCCCGTCCAATCCCTTGAGGCTTGTGCTGGTAGCCGTTCATGCGAAGCTTCGCAAGCTCGTCCACCTTGGTGTCGTGAGGCACAAGGTTTCGGGTTTAGGAGGCTGTCTGGGTGGACCCGCGGCTAAACTCAGGCTCGAAACCAAGCGAAGCCACGAACCATTCCACCAGAATTCAGCGATTCCGGGTCGTGTAAAGCGGATGTTGTACCAAAACTTGGCGCAAAACCTTCTTTCGGAAAGTCGTGGCATACACTGAACACCGAAACTCTGTAGTCCAGAACCCTTAGCACTAGATCCCTTCACTCCGCACTGGATCTTTCACTCCCAAACCCCTATGTAACCTGTTCCGAATCCTAGTTGACGCCTACAACCCTGAATCATCCTGCTAAAATCTTCTTGAAGGCCCTGTATCAACCTTACATGAGCCCTATGTGGCAAGATGCCGGATCTTTCACCCACTCGAAGAAAAGAGGATGGGCAGACCTCTCCAGTGCAGGACAACGAGGTGTGGTATCATCTTGTTGCAACAGAACACAACATAACACAAAACAAAGGGTGGACAATACTATAGCATCTCATATAACATCCAACAGCCGAGACGGAAGAGGGTCATGGGCATATGATGATATCACTCAGCCTATGGTTGAGAGTTTCAGTTCTCGCTTTCTTCCTTTGAAATTTCACGGGGTGTCGGGGTGGGGGGCCGCATAGATCCCCTCCATATGATGCAGACAGCTTAGTTGAGTCTACCTGGAGGTAGCTGAGACTGGCATAATTGGGGGCTGACTCGCCTGGCGACAAAACGGTGACCTTTCAACTATGGCAGCACTAAACCCTAAACCTAAACCGTAAAAAACCTACACCTACACAGCCCAGGTTGAAAACGTGTTGCTCGGGTTCAGACTCCTGTAGAACTGGTGGGGCCCAAGATCACCCGGTATCCTTGGAAAACGAAGCAAATATCAAAGTCTACTATCGGAGCCTTAATAATTCCATTGGGATTCGGGGTATGTTGTATCATACCTACATGAGTCTCATATTGCGGCAACGAGGGAATGACATCTTTATTTGGTCATTCAGACCTCCAGGTTGGACCCTCTGAAGGGGAAGCCCGACGGAGCCTGAAGAAGTATCGGTTCTTCCTTGTGCTCAACAGTAACAGACTTGAGGCATCAGTTGGAGGGCATTGGGGGCTTCAATGTTTGTGGGTGTTAGCACGCGATGTGGCATCACCAGAAAAAACGTCACAAAGCGAGGCAACAGAACTCTACTTCAAAAGCCCCAAATCCTAATAATCAACCCAGGTTCAAACACATCACCAACAAGTCAAGCCAGCTAAAGCCCAAAAGCCCCAAATCCTGCACCCTGAACTTCATATAAAATTACAGAATCGGCGTGAAAGCAACACCCGATGGGCCTGATTCCATAGGCCGCCTCCGCTGCCTGCAGTAAAGCTGAGGAAGACGATTATACAGGGGCCTTAACTCGGCCTTAGTCATTGGAATGGGGGTTTTGGGAAATTACGATGATAACAAGGACCCCTTAGGAATACTGAATACTAGGTTTACTAGTTACTGAAATCCCCAAACCCTAAACCCATAACCCCAAAGCCCCCCCCCCGCCCACCCCCATTTACGGTTTGGAGATGGCTGCAGGCATCCAGAGCCCAGGCCTTCAGGCTCTACAAAGCTTAGGATGCAGGCTTTGGGGTGTAGGCTTACCCTAATTCCTAGTACGAATTGGGAACTGTGGGCCGTCAAAACAAGGAAGGTGCTGGTAGTGCCTGTTTAAACCGCGGATGAATATCTTGCGCATAAGCACGGGTTTTAGGGGCACTAGGGTTCGGGGTCTAAGGGGTTCATGGCTTCACCTAACTCATATTGTGTCCCAGCCATCTCCAAAGCTAAGCCCTCAGCAACCAACGCCCGCCAACCTAGACCTTGTCTCACTAAATTCATAATTACATACCCTGAGAGCCCAATCGCCCTTAATTAAGGAATATGGCTTAAATCATAATATGAAGTCCCTTATACTTGAAGGTATATTGCTTAATTAAGGGGTATTGGGCTCTCTGGGTAAGTAAAAGCAAAACCTGCACTGGCCTGACATGTAGTGACGCTTTCATCCGGCGATCGAAACTAAGTTCCTGGGCCCTCAAGCCCTAAACCCTAAACCCCTAAACCCTAAACCCAAAACCCTAAACCGGGAGTCAGTCAAGTCTGGTACAGGCAACTACCCACCTCAACTGCCAGCTTGTAGTGGGGACGCTCCTCCGCACCTTGGAGCTCAAGACATCAAGATTCCCAGGCAACGTGTGTAGTGCCGGGATGGGAGCTCAGGGTTCAGAGCTCAGACTTTCGTGGAAAGGGTTTGCGATTGAGGCTCTCTGTGCTTCTTAGTTGAAGGGCTTCAAAAAAGCTTCGACCCTTTCGTAACGCAAATATGCAGAATGCAAAGTTCTAGGACTTTTTGGCCCAACACCTAACCTCCGAAACCGCGGAACATGACGCTGAACCGCGCTCACTGAGTCTTACCCTTCAAGCAAAACAGGTATCGTCTCGAAAGCCATGAACAGGCAGAGTATATCTCGGACTGCCCTGTAGCCTGAAACCGTGGTGTGCCATGAAGCACAAGGAGCCGAACGAAGTCGAAGCCCGTGGCTCAACTTACCTTCGGTTAGTAGGGAATGGAAGAATGGTAGTAACAGTGGTTATAATTATAATCGTACCCATTCCTCCATTCCCTACTAACCAAAGGCAAGTCAAGCCCTTTGGAAGTCCTTTTTCTGATCTCGCGCGCGCTGCTGCTTCACTGGCGCACGGGCCTCTCTGCTCTGAAGATGTCTACGTGTGGGGTCATGGCTTCACACTCTTTCGGGGCTCCTTGAGGGTTCAGGGACTCAGGGCAAATCGCGGATTCCTTGACAATCCCCCTAATGATGTCAGAACATCCACTGAAAGCCTCAATTAATTGATAAACATATTCCGAATACTCTCACTGTTCTGGTGCCCCGCAGGTTGCAGTGTTCGCAGCCCTTCGTTGAAGCGAGTCCACCTTATATTCACTGTTTATCTGCTTGTTTGGGCGGGGGGGGGTTGAGTGCTCTTATCCGAAGATGTCGGTGCAGTGCATTGCGCATCATCCGCGGCCACCCGTGGTGAAGGTGTGTAGATCTCCCTGGTGGCAGTAACCTGGGGCTGCAAGGCTGAAGATCCTACTCTGGAACCCACATACCGCGCTGGACTTACTACAGGATCTACTAAGGCCTGAGGAGCTCGGAGTTTGGGGTGAACATTTCACGGCCAAGCGCGTTGCTTTTTTTTTTTTTTTTTTTTTTTGGGGGGGGGTTGGGGGGGGTTTGAGTTGAAGCTTGTGGGTTTGGGAAAGGGCCTACAGTGCCTAGGCCTTAGGAACTTTGTGCTTTAACACGGCATCTCTAAGGATAGCATGAGACTACAAGGATGCCAAGAACAGAACGCGTCCTTTGAGAACGATATAAATCTTAACATTGTTTGAAATTTCAAGATTACTATTGTCATTAGCATTAGTATTGATACATTATACTAACACAAACATTTCTTTTAATCTTAATGTTCATAGTGTTAATTATTCTTAGCCCCCGAGATGTCTGCCCAGCAGCCATCCACCTCCCAGGTCAGAACATCGGCGGACGCGAGCACCTGAGCCGAGTCAAGAATCAAACTTGACGACCCTTGGTTCCCTGTTTGATATATCAGTATATGGGAGTTTCCGAAAATAGGGGACCCTAATACCCTAAATAGTAGGATCCTTATTATACGGACCCCAGAATAAGATACCCCTAATTTTCGGAAACTCCCATATCAGAATCTGCAACCGTCCTTCTTCTTGCATCTTCAAGGGCTTAGGGCTTAGAGTACAATGCGCCGCAGTGGCGTCACGATTCAGGCTTTGAAGTTGGGTCCGGACGTGAGGTTTCTTTGGATTCTATGGGGCTCCACAGGAGCCTGGATAGGCTCTGTAGGTTTCTGTAAGAATTCTGTACAAGGTTTTATAGGGGATCTTCTTGAAAGGCTCATAGGGGTTTGGGCTTTGGTTTGGGCTGGGACTAGTTGCATGGTACTTCCTCCGAAATCTCGTGTGTTATGTTTACTTGTACTCTTCTGGCCGGTGCTGTGTCTACATGATACTTCTATGATGACTGCTGCTTCGTGGTCTTTCTTCCTTGCTATGCAGGCAGGGGGCGAGTTAAGATGTTCGTCTAAGTCAATACAGGAATGCTTGACTTCTCCTACTGTTGAGGTCTAAATGCTACAGATAATATCCTCGCATTATTGAGGCCATTGCATTCCTAGTGCTGTTTTGATTGATGCTTCCACTGTCTCTGCAGCTGACTCATCTTGGAGCCCTCAAACCGACCAGGGTCGTCATAGGCACAATGGGCAAGGAACTAACAGCTTTCCCAGATCTGCACAGCCATTTTATGCAAATGCGCTTTCCGTGATAGTATGATGCGATTCTGTTGCCCCGGCACGCTAAGACCTTTGTTGCACTGTGACTATCTCTGTATGAGGCTTACCCTGAACACACTACCAAGACGTAACACAAGGTGATATGACCAGCCGTCTTCAAACGCCCGCGAAGCGGTGGCTCAACATGCAGAACCCTTCATCTCGGTCCCGGCACACGATGCTTCATCGAGTACTGGTGGAGCGTTTCCGGGCCCATTGCTCCAAGAGCGACGATGGCATTGCCTCGAATGCTCAAGACTCTAAGGAATGTTGGCTCAACGAGCGCTCTGCACGATTTTGAAAAGGCTGAAAACATGCACTCCGGGATTGACATGCGTTGTGGAGTTTATGCTTCCGGGGTGTATGGAAGCGAAGGCTTAGATAGTCTATCCCTGCACCAAGCCGGAGTTACATAGCAGCGCGAAATATGAAGCTGGCTCTTTGTTTGTTCCCACCAGTCGCATTGTTCGTTCCAGCTGTCGACAGTGCTATCTGCATGACAGTGCCTCGGGCACCCCGAAATCCATGGCTTCACGTCTTCCATCCTTTCTAATTACCCAAGCCATGAGCCCGACAACCGAAATCCTCAGGATGCTCTCCGAGCTGCCAGTAAATCGGACGGTTTCGAGGTCGATAAGCCTGGTCGCACTTCGCTTCGCTCCCATCACCTCTGCTGGCGACCGGTTTTGCTTTGACAGGTTTAGACATTCTAGAGATGTATAGTCTTCATGCGTATGTATGTGTGCATATATACATATATACTTGTATATGTGCACACATACACATATATGGCTTCGATGAGTAATTGTACATATATATATATATATGCACACATGTTATGTGTATTTGTACACATGCAAATCACTTGCGTTCTTTCCGTTTGCCTTGTACCGTTTTCTTTCTCTATGTCGCTACGTGGACTGCGGTCGAGCTCGTTGTTCAAAGAATTTTTGGGTTCTAGGACTTAGATGCGAATTGGGATGACAGCCTCTCGTGCAGACCCCTTGATCGTGCTTCTGCTTGATATTACTTCGTTTGACATTGTCCAGTCTGTAAACAGGGCTCCTAGACAGTATCAATGGAGTCGGTCTTCGAAGGGCTTGGGCCGGGATGTATGGAGTCGAAGGTCGGAAGAGATGAGAAACCCCCAAACCCCAACCCTAACTCCCTCAACCTTAAACCCTAAACGGCCATAAACCCTCAGCCCCCCGAACCCCACAATGCCATCCGACAGGTCCATCAGTTCTGCCCTAGAGCCCGAAAGCGCTGCACGTTACCCGTCAGTAAAGACAAGGATTAACGTTAAGGGCTTAGTATTTACTCTCAAGGGCTTAGTATTTAGTTTTTGTGTTGCCTTGGCACCAAAGTCCAAAAGAGAGTAGAGCTTGTAAAGTGGGGTAGGCGGGAGTTTCCTCAAGTTAGGGGTACCTTATTTTGGGGTCCGTAAAAAAAGGATCCTACTATTTAGAGTTCTATATTAGGGTCCCCTATTTTCGGAAACTCCCAGGTGGGACCGCTAGCAGCCGAGGCGCGCTTCGCTCGGACTTGACGCTGCCTGCGGGGATTGGCAAAGCAAAATAGATGATTCAGATAACCTGCTATAGTTCTTGTATGATCATTCGTGTACCTGTGCCATATATACACACACATCAAAGATAGATAGAACGCATGCGGCAATTCTTGTATTGTTTTAATACAATGATGGATAGATGGATCGTTCGCTAGCTGGCTAGGTAGGTGGGTAGGATGGATTGATCGGTAGATTCTAATATACCCTGTAAACCATAATTTACACATATACATATATGGATAGATAGTTAGGTTTTTTGTATAGAAACCATTGAACCGGTAGCAGGACCTGGGCCCGAAGCACGAAGGGTGAGGCCTTGATGACTAGCGATCGGCTTTGCAAAAGACGCGCAGGCCTGGAAAGCCCTCGGACTACGGGGGAGGCTTTTCTATACATTGCTTTATAGGTATGAAAAAAGAAAGTGCACTAAGCTTTAGGGTCTAGGGCTAAGGGTTTCTGGTCCGTCAAGGTTTTCGGGTCAATGGTTCGGGCAACGCCACGCAAGAGTTGTGGCTGGCTGTCATGGAAGGAGCCGCGAACGCGCCTGGCCACAAGGTGAGGATGTGCACACCATAGTTGCCTGCGAGCACAGAACTCAAATGCCAGAAACCCGATATTTATCCACAGTGGGATCAAAGAACAAGGGCTCTGGGTTTGCAGGGGCTACTCTGCCAGGTTGATCTTGATTTGTTGAGCATGTCATTGCCAGACTTAGAGCTTCCAGGCAGCCAGGCCCAGACCCAAGTGGTCAGAATATGTCAAGACCCGCTTGTGCACAGAATCCTGGAGCCTCCGACCTGCCAGAACCTGTCAAAAAAAACGCTGCACCACTCCCTCACATCTCTTTGGACGAAGGGACGGACACGTTCAGAGAGAGCCATCATTGATCGATCGAAGGTGGCTTTGTTACCTCAGTGGGGCGACGTCCTCTCGCTTAGTGTCAGGGTCTCGGGCAAAGATAGGGTTTAGGGTTTAGGGCGGCAGCAGCCATTAGTACTACACGATTCTAATCTAGGTTGGAAGGTATGATTCAATGCAAAGGGCATGTAGTGGCGAGTGTAGTGGGATTGGGTATAGAGTTTAGGCTCCATGGAGCACGCTGCGGGCTTCAGGGCTTCAGGGTGTCGTACATCAGGCTCGGGGGGAGCCTCGATGAGATCCTTCCGGTGGCCATCGTCAATGTAGGGGCCTTAATAATTAGAATAGGGTTTTGAGGGGTTCCTTATTATAGCTATAGTATAATATACCCCCAAATTCCAATCATTCAGGTCCTTATATTACCCTGAAACTCGTTAAGGTTCGGAGTTTCACTGTTCAGCTTGCCTAGGGGTTTCGTGTAGTCTCTGCTCAGGGTTTAGGGCTCTCTGGCTCCAAGGTGCAATAGTAGGAGAGCGGGAACGGGAAGATATTCATCCTCAGCCGGGAACACAGCGAGTGAAGGAGGATGTCGTGACTTTCGAAACCTTGCCAGGCCTGGTCAGGTACACTACTTCACACCAGAAACCCAAACCCATCCTGGATCTTGCAACAAGCTCTAAACCCAAGCCTTCGGTTGGTGGGGGTGAAGAGTTGGGTGGGCAGTAAGACCAGCTGGAAGCTGTATACAGTCGGCCGCTGTTTTTTTGGCCTAGGGTTGTGCAAAGGGTTACGTTAGGGCTTAGGGTCATGTACGGTTTTCGCCTTGGTCCTCGAACAGCTGGCGAATCGGTGATAGTCTGCCGGGTACATTAAGGAGTCTGAACAGTTCGTAATGAATATCCTTGATACGCCCTATAGTGGTATGAAATCAAGCACGAAGACAGTTACTTTCAGATGTCCCAAACCCCTACTCTGATCCATGAGGTGGAGTTTTCCATCCGCACAAGAGACCATACTCGAAGCCCTGTGAAACCCTGATAAGACCTCCCAAAAAGCAACATACGCCATGCGGCGGGCCGTAGACCGAACAGCGGTCTTCGGCTTCTACTTGCTGATTGGAGGATTCAGAACTGATGGCTTGGACCGGCTTGGAGTGAGGAGCTATTGTTCTTGAAACATGTACCAAGCTTCGCCACCTCAGAACCTTAATTCGTACATCACCCCTAAGCGGTTCAGAGTTCGGGAGCTTGGCCACTGCCACTCAACATCGCCAGGTGTCTGAGAGCCCCATGAGGAGACGTTGATAACAACGCCACGCCCACGGCGCAAGCACGGAAGAAGCCCCACCGTGAAGCCTGCCAGAAGTCAATTCTTTGGGTGTCTGGTAACTACCAAAGGCCCCACACCACGGGATGTGTTCAAGGATGGAGGGTTGAGGGTGGAGGGCTGGGATCTTCATGTCAGCATTGAGCTTTTTGGTGCTAAAGTGTCGGGGATGCAGAATCGGAGGCCAGGCGTTTGTACACTGTGTCCCAACAACATTGCTTGGCCCCCGTTTCTAGCAGACTCTTACAATACAAGTACCTGACATGCATGTACGAACATCTGATGCCGGCCAGCCTATGTGATTCAGTCCACCGACAGAGGTCTGCTCATTCCTCGGCTAAGCTGGCAGCTGTCGGCTGCAGGACTCCTTTCCAATCTTGACAGTTGAGTGCCAACACGTCGACGCGTGCCTGGAACCACTCCGTGAGGTAGTTGTATATATGTATATGAATATAGATATAGGTATGCAGGTTGAAAAAGATATAGTGACGGGTCTAGATATAGATATAGACATAGACACAGATATTGGATTTAGATATAGGTCCAGAATATTAAACCTCACACTGCTTCGACTCGAACAGAGCCCAAACCCTAAACTGCAGCGCGTCCATGAAACGTGGCAAGTCCTGGAGATTTCCCAGCTTATTGAACTCGGAAAAAAAGTAAGGCCTGAGGCTTTAAGTTGAGGGTTTGGGGTTTAGGTTCCTCCCTCTGAGTGCCCGCTAGCAGGCACTACCTGCAAACAACAGCGTCGGCACCACTCTGTTACGTCCTGACCCCGAAGTAGCCCAGTCGCAGAAATCGCATCGGCTGGTTCCAGATCGGCGTGCTGAAGAAAATCATGTCCGGCTTCGGGATGTAGAAAGCCTAATCGTCCGTGGCGGCTTAGGGTTTCTGGCCCCGGGGATTTAGGGGCTGCAGCGGTGGAAGGAAAGTCAAGACTTCGAGCGCTTCCGGGGTAGTTAGGACCTTGGAAGTTTCTCATTGCGGACTAAGCCACGCATGCCATGGAACCCCTTGTTTAGTGCTCTAAATGAGGAGACGGCCCATGTTTATGATGCACCCTCTCTGAACATAGACGCTTTCCAGAACTTGGGAGGAGAAGAAATGAACTGGCAGGGAGGGTCCATAATTGCAATACTGTTGGTGATATAAAAAACCCTGCATTGCGCATAATAAGGAATATACCTTAATTCCCACAGTTTAGGATCCTTTAGGTAAATGCAGGATTTATATCATCAACCGTATCAGCTCGGGGCTCAAGGAGGCCAATCCAGAAAGACCATAAAGCCCCCCACAAAGACACAACTACTTTCTGAACTGCAGCTTCCGCTCAGGAGCGCCCCCAAAAAAGAGTTTGTCATTCTGACGGTGGCACCCGTTTTGAAACTTTGGGTCTTGCCCACTGCCGCTACCACTGCGACTGCTGCTTCTGCTACGACGACGACTACGGCAGCGACTGCCTGCGAATACGACGCCCGCGAGGACGATGACGACTGGCACTGCCACTGCCACCGCGACTGCAACTGCAACTGCTCAGGCCAGTGCTGCTAATAAAATATGCTACTTCCGCCCTGCTCCACCTACCTCGTCTGCTCCCAAAAAATCACCTGTTCCCAACATCACCTCACCATCACCAAGCACAAGTCCATTCTCTGAGCCATTGACACTGTTGACGCAAAGATCGCAGCGTCCGTGGGTTTCAGAAATCATCTTCACCTTGCTTTTGCTGGGCCTAGCGGCCTCCGACGGAGCTGAAAGCTTTCGGTTATTATAGGGGCCTTCATAATTAGAATAGGGTTTTGGGGACCATTGTACTATACTTATAATACCCAAAATAGTATAGGAAAAATTATTAAGGCCCGTATATGATTTGCAGCCCCGAACCAGGAGCCTCTGAGATCCCAAGTTGCACAAGCCCTAAAGACAAACATCGAGTCGCCGAATGTCAGCGCCAGGGTCTGTGGCGAAGGGCTCCGTTGTTCATGAAACTTGCACTCTTCTTGGCTAGCTATCATTGGATTCAGCACAAACGACTGTCCCTACGAACTCTGTTCGGGCTCTGCACAAATCGAGGTGCTGTTGGCCATTTGACCTGTGACAGCCTCAAACTCCAATCTCATTTGTTCCCCTGACATACTGTCCTAGGTTAAGGTCTCCGAAGCCTCAGAGCCTCCGGTCGCAATGCCCAAGAAACAGGCTCCGGAACTTCTTCGTCGAAGATAGTGCTGGCATCAGGTTTCGGTTCATGTTCCACGACTGCCCGATTTGCAGAGAAACCTCCAGCTTTGACAAGACACCAGCGCTGCGTTCTGTGTGTCCTGCGCGTGGTCCACGTGCACCGCCACCTTCCCGTGGAGATCATTTTGGCAGCCAGAAATTAAGGCCAGGTGACCAGACCAGAGAGGAGCACAGAGTTGGATGGATGACGTAAAACATGCAGTTGTAACATTTTCACTCACATACAACATAGACATAGACTTGCATATGCATGTATTCGTTTGTTTGCATGTACGTTTTACATAAATGATTCCCACCAGCCTGCCTGCCTACCCACCTTGACAAATATGCACATAAAGAGAAAATAGATCACTTCGTTACACCGTTTATGAACAAATAATGTGTTTGCATACATGCTCATACTTGTTCCTTCATGCGTGTATACAGTCTGTATATACGCTCATGTGGTTTCGAGCAGGCTTGGGGAGTCCGAAGCCCTCATCCCCGGGTCTGGGATCGAAGCCAAGTGTCGCCAGTGCCGCCCAGCTTGCCGAATGTCGAGGCAGTTTCATCCACGGTGCCCATGAGGATGACATCGGTCTCCTCTGGTCAACGCGCGTTTGATATCCGATTTCTTTGGAATCCGACAACTGCCTGATAGGTGGTAGTCAGATGCTTGCTGCTGCAATCAAGAGTTGTTCAGCTCGGTTGTCTTCGGCCGTGCACTTCTAGGAGCAAACTCCCCAAGTTCCAACGCGGGTCTACATGCTAACCTTAGAGTAGCAGCCTTACACAAAGAGGGCTGATTGATAAGGTTTGGGGTAGTGCAGGCTCGCCGGCCAGCTCCTTGCCAGGTGCGGATCTTCCGGTCACATAGACGATGGCCCCCGCCTCCGGTCGATTCAAGGCGTAAGGCCCCTCCAAGACCTTAAGGGGGATTCTGGCCCGAAAGCATCCGAACCAAGAGCCTCAAGGTACAGAGAAGGCCCGTACTCATGGAATGTCACACCTGACCTGCTATGACTTCCATTGCTGCTCAACCCTGCACCCTAATCCCTGTCGGGGTGGCATTGTTGTTGTCATGACTACTGCCTCTGCGTGTTTGCCCTGACAGCCCAGGAGCAGCAGTAGTACGTTAAGAGTAGCCGTTGTAGCATGCAAAAAATCTGTGATCATGAGGACAGCAAGCCTAGCAAGAACGCCACTGCTACTGAACGCAACCACGACAGGTTCTACAAATGCTGCTGCTGTGGCTGCTGTTGCTGCTGGCTGCTCATGCCAAGCACACCAGCCAGTAGTTGCGAAAGACAGAAGGTCCAAGCTAGCCAGCGACTGTGATAGACAGAACACTAACAAGAGTAATAGACTCTGTAGCGGTCTTAATGCCGCCGTAGAAGATGAACCACAGGCAGCCGCAGCAGCTTCGACAACGCAGAAAGTGATCATTAGAGTAGTAAGACTGACATGCCCACCAGGATCGGTGGTATACAGACACAGCAGCCCAGCCGACGTCGGTATCTTTGTGCCCTTTCGTGGACACATGATTCGTGTGCAAGCATTGCGTTAAGCCTCTGGCGTTGGCTGGAAAAGGATATGCTACAATCACGAAATCTCGATGGCGACGTGTCTGTTCAGCCCCGTAACAGTCTGCAAATCGACACTGACCCTTGACATAATGGGGTCTTCATTGTATACACTACGGCATTTCCGGATGAAGCTTTAGAGCAAGAAACGCCGAGGGATCTAAACGCCGCGGCCTACATTACTATCCGTGGCGGGTGCTGGGACAGTGTCGCTTGGGAAATGTCTCAGGGAGCTGGTACGTGAGGCCTGAACCCTAAACCCTAAATCCCGAACCCTAAAGCCCCTAAAACCCTAAACGCCCGAACCCCTAAACCCCTAAAACCCTATAAACATTAAATTCCTAAACCCCTAAAGCCCTATAACCCCTAAAACCCTCTAAACCCTAAACCCCTAAAGCCCTATAAACCCTAAAACCCTCTAAACCCTAAACCCCTAAAACCCTATAAACCCTAAAACCCTCTAGACCCTAAACCCCTACAGCACTATAAACCCTAAAACCCTCTAAACCCTAAACCCCTAAAGCCCTATAAACCCTAAAACCCTCTAACCCCTAAACCCCTAAAACCCTATAAACCCTAAAACCCTCTAAACCCTAAACCCCTAAAACCCTATAAACCCTAAAACCCTCTAAACCCTAAACCCCTAAAACCCTATAAACCCTAAAACCCTCTAAACCCTAAACCCCTAAAACCCTATAAACCCTAAAACCCTCTAAACCCTAAACCCCTAAAGCACTATAAACCCTAAAACCCTCTAAACCCTAAACCCCTGAAGCACTGTAAACCCTAAAACCGTCTAAACCCTAAACCCCTAAAACCCTATAAACCCTCTAAACCCCTAAAGCACTATAAACCCTAAAACCCTCTAAACCCTAAACCCCTAAAACCCTATAGACCCTAAACCCCTCTAAACCCTAAACCCCTAAAGCACTATAAACCCTAAAACCCTCTAAACCCTAAACCCCCAAAACCCTATAAACCCAAAAACCCTCTAAACCCTAAACCCAAAAACCCTCTAAACCCTAAACCCCTAAAGCACTATAAACCCTAAAACCCTCTAAACCCTCCTAACACCCTCTAAACCCTGAACCCCTAAAGCACTATAAACCCTAAAACCCTCTAAACCCTAAACCCCTAAAACCCTATAAACCCTAAAACCCTCTAGACCCTAAACCCCTACAGCACTATAAACCCTAAAACCCTCTGAACCCTATACAAACCGCTAAAGCACTATAAACCCTAAAACCCTCTAAAACCTAAACCCTTAAAACCCTATAAACCCTAAAACCCTCTAAACCCTAAACCCTTAAAACCCTATAAACCCTAAAACCCTCTAAACCCTAAACCCCTACAGCACTATAAACCCTAAAACCCTCTAAACCCTAAACCCCTAAAGCACTATAAACCCTAAAACCCTCTAAACCCTAAGCCCCTAAAACCCTATAAACCCTAAAACCCTCTAAACCCTAAACCCCTAAAGCCCTATAAACCCTAAAACCCTCTAAACCCTAAACCCCTAAAACCCTATAAACCCTAAAACCCTCTAGACCCTAAACCCTTACAGCACTATAAACCCTAAAACCCTCTAAACCCTAAACCCCTAAAGCACTATAAACCCTAAAACCCTCTAAACCCTAAACCCCTAAAACCCTATAAACCCTAAAACCCTCTAAACCCTAAACCCCTAAAGCACTATAAACCCTAAAACCCTGTAAACCCTAAACCACTAAAACCCTCTAAACCCTATTATAAGCCCTAAAACCCTCTAAACCCTACGCCCCTAAAGCACTATAAACCCTAAACCCTCTAAACCCTGAACCCCTAAAACCCTATAAACCCTAAAACCCTCTAAACCCTAAACCCCTAAAGCCCTATAAACCCTACAACCCTATAAACCCTATAAACCCTGAAAACCCTCTAAACCCTAAACCCCTAAAGCCCTGTAAACCCTAAAACCCTCTGAACCCTAAACCCCTAAAACCCTATAAACCCTATAAGCCCTAAACCCCTAAAACCCTATAAACCTTAAACCCCCGAACCCCTAAACCGCAAAAACTCTATAAACCCTACAACCCATCCGAACTTAGACTTAGTTTTCTTCGTCTCGACCTCGGCCAAGCTCTGAGCGATACCTGCCAGGTTTAAGCTTCGGTTACCTATAACCGTACGACAAGGCTAGGGTCAGTAAGGTTTAGGGCTTTGGCTTTAGGTTTAGGGGTTGGGCTTTTAGCAGCGAGTCTGGTATTTTTATCTTTTTTTGGGGGGGGGTTCCGGGTCTTTCTCCCTAAACGCTAAATTCTAAACCGTGACTGGAGCAGGAACTTCCAACTCTGAACCCTCGGCCTCTCACTGCGAACAATTTCCCTGTGACTTGGACACTCCTGAAGCCTCATAGCACTACCTGGAGAGTCGGGGGCTTAGAAGTATCATAACTCCAATTAGGCTCCGCTCTGGTGTACGTATAAGTCTACTTACTACCTACTTACTAGGTCCCCCGACCCTCCAAGTACATCTAACACCTCCACTGAAACCTAGCACATCGCACTCCAAAGTTGACTAGTGCGATCGGATGATAGAGCTCTCTTCATCTGGGGGTCTCCCTATAAACTACCATACCTATGGAAACGAGAGTTTCTAAGAACAAGACCTGAAGCAATCACGGGCTTGGAGAAAGAGCCGTAACACCAACTTGGAACTAGCTTGGTAATGTAGGCGCATTCATGGATTATAGGGTTTCCAGGTAGATTACAGCAGGGATTATAACGTGAAACTGGTATTGCTTATACCGCCTTATCAGGTCCAGATCTGGTCCAGTCATCCCTCGGGATTTTGCTGAGAGCCGGCAAATTCCTCCACTTGCAGGCATGAAAAGAGCCCGAATGCTCGGTTTCGAGGAGCCCCAGAGTCACCATCGAACCTGCCTATCAAGAACTACCCCATCACCTCGTCCTGTCATGCAAATTCACGCGCAATCCCCTTCCAACCCTCAACCTGGAGTTGTCGAGAGATCTATATCAGAAGGCAGGTTCCCCAAAACGTAGCCGGCCCAATGCCAAAACCGTGTGTGTGCCTTCAACAAAACCGCAAAACCCTCAGCCCTGGCCTTTTCCGATACCTCGGGAGGCACCAGTGACCACAGCCACTTGCCCCGACAGTTTCTTCGACTCCTGGCATACCCATTGACGCTTCAAAACAGAGTGAGACAAACACTGGTCGCAAACCTCAGGAAGATGGAAGGGTCTGGCATTCGCCGAGCTCAGACGATGGATGCAGTGCGCTCGAGGATCTCTGAAGCTAAACCCCCTAAATCCCTGAATCGAAAAACCCTAAACCCTACCCAAAAACCCTATCAACCCTATAAGCCCTCTGTAGATCTCCCCACACTTTATGCTCGTTTCGTGCCTGCGTGCCGACCAATCGTTGCAGACCCACGAAAGGCCTGACTTTTCATGAGGGTTTCACGTGTGCAATATCGGGGCCTTAATAATTAGAGTAGGGTTCCTTTAAAAGGGTCTATAAGGGTGACAAAAAGGGATCTATCAGGGTACTTTAATATAGGGGCCTTAATAGTTAGAATAAGGTTTTTTGGCGTCCCAGTGTACCATTAATAATAATACGGAACCCCGCAATTGATTAAGGCCTCTATAGTAGTATCGGGGCCCGAAAGACTGAACAGGGTTTGTTACTTTGGTATTTTGTAGGTTCATGCAGGGTACACTGAAGGGGCATTAATGACTAGAACGGTGTTGGGGAATCTTGGAGTATCTTTTATGTACAAGGGCTGTGAGGCTATGAGCGGATATTTACGCACCTAATCCTACCCTTATATCATGTCTTCAGCGTCCCTGATTCCTGCACAGCATTGCAGCCGTCGGGTCTGTGACTCAGGCGAGCGTACTGTTGCGACAGAGACTGCTTGACACCATGGCGAGTATTGTTTCGTTATTGGCAAGGCTAAAGGTGAGGACGCAACAGCTCGAGTAATAGCAATTATACGTGCCGGTCGAGGTCGCTGGAGACAACATCCACCCTCACCCCCTCCTACGATCGTGTCATGCTGGCCTTGTTGGAACTGTTCACAAGTGTGTGTGTGTGTGTGTGTGTGTGTGTGTGTGTTATCAATAGAAACGAAGTTCGGCCGTGTTGTGCTTGCCTTGTTGCGCACAAACTCGATTTGTTCGTGTGCGTATACATACATGTATATACATGTATAGAGAGCGATAGCTATACACATGTAGGCTTTCTATGTGCAATACAACAAGCAGGCACTTAACTCAATAGCCAAGTATAGATGAATCAATCAAGAAAAACATGAACGAATGAACCACTATTTCAAGACAGAAATTAAGTAAACTGTACATAACGTATGATTCAGGTTTGGCTTTTACTTTTGCTTGGGCCAAGGTGCTCTGTAGGGCAATGTGCAGGTCCAGACACCCCGGGAACACAGTGATCCAAGGCCTGCATGAGCGAACGCTGTCGTGAAGCCGAAACTCTACGATCCGGCAGTACGAGAGATTGTTGCAAAACTCGCAAGGTTTATGCAGGGTTCGCTGTAGGGGCCTTCCCACTAAAAATCGGGGTTTGGGCATTCGGATCCCTTATCCCTGTATTCAGGGTTTATCGTAAAGGTGGACTTTTGTCACTGTCTCTTCACAAGAACATGTCTTGCACATTCTCCCACAGTCTATTCAATCCTGTTTGCGAAAGACCTTATGGCAAAACCAGCAACATGTGCACATAATTTGAACCAATCCGCACAGCCATGAAGAACAATGGATCGCCGGAATACATCCTTGCAAGAACAAGAACACAAATCCTTACAATCATAATGCCAGCTGTAGCCAGCTTTCATAACTCACGACCCTAAACCCCCATCTGCACACTCCGAACCCCTCATCCCAGCACCGCCGGAGTCCTTGGTCATGCCGAAGGCCGGGGGAGTCACCTCAGCTTACAGGGCAAAAGCCCTCGAAAAACGACAAAAAACAACTTTTAGCTTCAGGTTTTGGGGTGGAGGAACCTGGGCAAGAAACCCCTGCTTCCTCTTGGTGTTCTTCGTCTAGAGGAATTACACAGGACATGGGGTGTCTGAACGCTTTCGGTTTGGAACTCGAACTTGAGGTTCGGGGCCTTCACGTGACAGCCTCGGACTCTATGCCAAACAAACCCCAACAAGAAATCCTCTGACCCTAGACACATCAGTCTAATTTCCCCAGCCCCGTGAATGTCACTACTTTTGCTCCAACTCATCCTGCTGCCCACGCTTCCCGCAATCACGTTTCTGACTGGGAGTGTCGAATACAACTTGCATGGCCAACACCACTTCCACGACAAGACCGATAATGGGGACTAGGGCTACAGATGAGCGAAGTGTATGCGTGCGTGCTTGCTTACGTGAATTGAAGGTATCACCGCGACGTTCTATTGCCTCTGCTACTGTTGCTGGGACTCGGACGACGCAAGCCGGTAAGATGCTAGTACTACCACTACTTCGCCGCCTCTGCTACTGAGGTACTGCTACGACTGCAGCGGCATCATCCTTTTACTGGCTTCCATAAATGATGATTGACCTCCTTACGCCCCTTACCTCGGCCCTCCCGGTTTAGGGTTTAGGGTTTTGGGTTTAGGGTCCTCCTCTCCCTGGTCCGACTGTTCTCCTCGCCGTTAGCATCCCGAGCTCTCCAGAGCCCCTTCAGGCCCAAGTCTCGACCGAGAATCCCGAATCTCCAGCTCAAAGTCCTATATAGCCCTCTCCTAACTGCTCCCCTAGACCTAACCTTAACCCTGAAGGACCTACCTTTTAACAAGGAACCCTAAAAAGGTAGGTTATTCAGGATTAAGGAAACCCTAAACCCTCTGCACTCTTCGGCCCGTCTGCCTTCGGGGGAGCCTTCGAGGCTCGCAGATCGGCGCAAAGGCGCCGCGCAGCAGCCTGTGAAACATCACACTCGGGATACCTTTTGGGGTTAAGGATTTAGGGGTCCGGGTTCAGAGTTACTGTGTGGGGTGACAATCCTCAGTGCTGTGACTGAGAAGCAGCGCGAACGTTATGGCTACAATCTCACCAGCCCCAAGCCGTGAACTTGGGAACTTAGGAGCCTGTAGCATGATGTGGAGCTTGGGTTTTCGACGTGAGCTTATAGGATATTGAGGCGCAAACCACCAAGAAGCAGCAAGCTGTAGGCTGACTGCCCCAACTCGCAGGCGCCGATGTAAAGCAACCGCTGCGAGATCTCGTTTAAGCGTGAGCAGGTTCTATCCTCGGGCCTCTGTCACCTTCGCCTGGGCGTCGTAGGCGAGAGGCAAGGCTGCCCTGTCCAGTGAATGAGTTCAAGCATTGGGAGCTTCAAGACATCCTAGCTGGCTCCATGGCCGTCATTGTGTTTTGTTCCTCGTCCTCGTAATCATCAACTATTGTGAGTATTTTTCTTCCGCCTGTGGCTGTTGCGAAAGAACGCTGGACAAATGCTTACTCTTTCTCTTGGTGCTGGCTTTTCGCGGACTGTATCATAAACGTGATTACGACAGCAAGTTCCAGTCCAATTAATTCAATGCTCTGCTGCTGTTTCGGTTGCTGAAGGAAGCAGAGCTTGGCTAACGATAGTGCTCATGAGAGATGAAGAACAAGCAGAGGAATACGATCACGACGACAAGAAGAAGAAGGCGACAAATCTCCCCATCAATACCAACGGTCAAGCACAGAAGGGAGACTACCCGCGACCTACCGCCACCCGTATGCATCAAGCCCTTGCCACGATAGGAAGAAGACCCTCTAACTGCTACTCCAGGCTTCGAGTCCGAACAAGCACTGTCCTACTACCTTTTGGTGGCCATGACCCAGCCAAAGTCCCTGCGAAAGACTTCGCAGCTTGGAAGCCGTGATTGTGCGGAACCCAGAATGAAGGGAATGACACTTGATGAAAACAAACGTCACTACCAAAGCTTGGATATGCCATTCCTTAAGGGGCTGACTCAGTCGGAGTTGTCACATGATGCCAGCATCGGAAGAACTGAAGTGCCACTGCTCACAAAAGTGCCAGAGATGCTTTAAAGCTGGCCTCAGCCAAAGCTCTTCCGTAAACCCCTCTCCCTGCCTTGCTGCCTGCAAGCCTGCAGGCTTGTCTCCCAGTCCTCAAGGCAGCTGAGCATGGGGGTGTCTGCTTACAGCTGACTTCGTCACCCAGTCCCCGGAGCCCTTCTGCTGAAGCTTGAGCCCGGAGCCCCACCCCCCCGCCCGCACCCCCTCCCATCCTCGATGTGCGGATGCCACGACCACCAGCGCTGCAGCTTGGCCTTGCCAGGGGATGTAGGTCTGAAACTTGAAATCCAGCTTCTGTTACACACCGTGTCTTGAAAACCTCCATATCTGCAACTATGAGGTCCTCAATCGTGATGCCCACTGGCAGCATCGGAAAGCTCTCCCGCTCTCAGCACCGGCGCTCTATCGCTTGCCCATGATGATGATGCTTGTAGTCACGTTACTACCGAGTGTCATCATGATAATCACCGTCATCACCGTCATCATCATCATCATCGTCGTCACCGTCGCCATTGTCTCCCGAATCTCAACATCAACCAACTCAATCACGAGGAGAAGACAAAGAAGACTGAATACCAAGATCTCGAGCACTGAACGTTTCAACCGAAACCGCATCTATGCAGGTGCGCCTGCTTTGTCGTTGGCAGACTTGAAGCTTTCAAGCGCCTTGTTCGCCACCTTTGTCAGTGCCATCGCAGTGAGGTTTCCATAATGGGATCTAAAGCTTGATTCGATCTCGTCTGTTTCGCTAGCTTAGAGGTGCAACTTAAGCCCACAAGATCACAGCATGGTACACAGGCTTAGCACTTCGAGCACCACTTGGCTTCTTCACGGTGGACACGTATCAGAAAGGCAACATCAACGGGCATCTGCCAAGATCTGTTGCAACCGCTTGAAAGCTTGAACAAATGTATCCCCAATCGGGCAACATGACTTCACTTCTCGGGTTGATGGGTGGCAGAATGTAGGACCAAGCACATGCAGTATGCAACTTAAGGATATGCAACCACCGGAGTGTCGACGTTTCTAGGCGCTGCGCCGACAAATCCTAGACCAACAACCTCCGACTCGTCTATCAAAGTTCTCAAATAAACCCCAGGGCAGAATGGCAGCGGTTGCTTTGCCTCAAGCGCCTTGCTGTAGTTGCCGTTCTTGCAGTGCACCTTGTGTCGCTCGGGTTCGAGCGTAAGCTACAGCGCGTTGCATTCTGGCGAAGCTCTACTCCACCCACACTTCCCTTTACATTGTGCGCTCAGCTAGCACGAGCCAGGCAGTCGAATAAGTCTGCAGTGAGAAACCTCATCAACAGTACCGGACCACACACACACACACGCACATGCATTTCTCAATGTACCTGTTCCTTATATGTATATACGCATGTAGATTCGATACGTGGCATGCATACAGATACATACGCACAACCCTACACCCGAGAAATACGGATCAGATACGTAGCTGGATGGCTACAGAAGACCAGAAACAGAAAGATCGTGTTAGTACACGTGTGTGTGAGAGAGAGTGAGAGAGGGTGAGCATGCCAATCCGCATACATGCTTGTATGCATGCATATGTTTACATGCATGCTTATGTATGTGTCTGCTCGGCAGGCCGATGGTTCATGCATCTACGTAAATAAACACATATACACAACGAGCTACCACGCAGACTGATACACGTCGCCGTCTGTATATACGTGTATAGTAGTATAGTATAGGAGTAGAGGCATCAATCTCCAAGCGACGTGTTTTGATGCATACACTCATACGTCCGACAAAACAGGCGTGACAAGCATGTCTCTACACAGCTGCACAGAAGAGAGGTATTCCGCGTAAGCCCAACAATCGTAAACATGAGCAAATAAACAAACATGCATGCACATACAACTAAACACACGAACATGTATGTATGCATGTATGTACGTGTACATATCTAGGTACATATGTACATATATACGTACATACATACATACATACATACATACGCACATTCGTATGTATATATATATATATATATATATATATGTATATGTATATATATATATATATATATATATATATATACACACCTACACGCGCACACACACACACAGACACACACACACACACAGAGACACACACACACACAGACACACACACCTACACGCGACACACACACACACAGACACACACACAGACACACACACACACACAGACACACACACACACACACACACACACACACACACACACACACACACACACACACACAGACACACACACACACACCCACACACACACACACACACACACACACACACACACACACACACACACACACACACACACAACACACACACACACACACACACACACACACACACACACACACACACACACACACACACACACACACACACACACACACACACACACACACACACACACACACACCCACACGCACACGCACACGCACACGCACACGCACACACATGCAAACATGCGCACAGACACAGATGCACACCTAAGGCATGAGCATGAGCATGTATGTATACATCTGCATGTAGTACATAAACATGCTGATAAACATGTACGTGCACATATATGTAATTAGCTGCACATCCCGCACCACATGAGTAAAAACATAAATCGAAAATTCAAATGAACCTGTGAATCTGTACAATCAGACGAAGAAGAACAATCACTCTTCGTGCGGAACTGACAAAGGAGGGCTAAGGCGGAAAACGCTGCACCCCATGTGCACATCCGGCCTCTGCTGTCTTCACTGCATCACCATCGGTCTCTACTGGATCAGCCTCCGCCGAAGCTGTAGTGGCTCGAGTCGGCTTGAGCATTGGGTGGGTTAAGGACTGGAATTCAAGACTACTTGGGTTGCTGGCTTCATCATCCGATCATCCGTGCGCGCCTTGACCTGCCTCACCACTCTCAGTGTGAACTCTTACTCGCGTCGATCGTCTCGGACACCGACTTTAATTAATGTCCATGGTCCCAAAGAATGATGATCCCGGCCTGCAGGGCCTTTAGCATGGGCTGAACTTCCTCATCGGGGACACCAATTTCCCGGAAGAGGAGCCTGCTTCGGGGCTGGCTGTGGAAGTTCCGTTGGAGTTCGGGTTGAAGATTTCTCTTGTTCGGTTTCCTGTCTAAGCACCCAGGAGCACACATGGTGGTGTTGGGCTCAAGTTTGCTTTCATGGCTTCCAGGACTCAGAAGGATTCACAACTCGAATTTCGTAGTTTCCATGCTACCGTCTAGCAGTGCTTAGATGGACTAGTCTGACTAGGCTTGGTCCCAATTTTTCTGGCGAGCCTGTCCATTTCACAGTACAAACACTATCCGTCGCAACGCTTATCGCACTTGTCATTGGTACAGACTCTGTCGGCATCCTTTCGATCCGATTGGAGTTGCACTTGTGGTGATTGCAGTTGTTGTCAACGGTACAAACAAGTTATTGCGACTTTGACATTAGCCCGACAAACTTCTCAGATGTGGTCGCATCATCTCAGCAACTTTGGCAACTCGATCGCAACATGAGTGCTGATCTTCGGGATCGGAAATGCCTTTCTTACAGCATTCCGAAACCGTTGGTGCCGTGCTACTGTATTGGGAAAATGCACATGGGCAGCATCGAGTTGATATGGCTGAACCGCAACTCAGCACCCCACAACTCTAGGAGCCAGATGCCAGCAAGCAGCATCTTTTCTCGCACAGGGCGAAGGCTGCGTTCGCGCTCGCGTGCCTCCTCTGCAGCTTGGGATGCGGATGCCGAGATGTAGGTTGCAGAGCCAGAGCCTATAATCTCTGAATCGTTTAGTTCTAGAGCCCAAAGTTGTTCTCCAGCCGAAAACACTACTTCAAGTCGCCCCCTCTCGAGTCGAGGTCCTGGTTCTTCGCAGTTTGGGTTTGGGGCTTGTCTGGTTTGGGTCAAGGTCGGCCCAATCAAGGCTTCTCATACCTCCCGCACGCGTACAAAAACCCGTTTAGAAACCTTTCTGGAACTCACCGGGCAGTTTCGTCAGCACCTACACGTCACCTGCACTCTAACCATGGCCCAGGCCGCAGATTGGAAGCTCTTAGACTTTATATTTTTATATATTATTATAATGATATATATATATATATATATATATATTTTTTTTTATAATATATTGTAATACAAATTGGTCTAAATAATTATATATTATATACCACAGCTTCAGATAAGTTGACTGAGGCTTCCAACGGCCAAAGAAGACGGGCTATCCTCACCCCCCAAACCCTCACCCAAATCCCTCCTCCCTCCACCCTCCGAAATACCGCCAACCCAGCAAGAACCCAATTCCTCCCTCCTTCCCCAATGGGGTTTCCGAAAATAGGGGACCCTAATATGGCACCCTAAATAGTAGGATCCTCATCACCCCTTACCATCGGAAACTCCCCAATCCCCCCCCCCCCCCCCCCGAAAGCCCTGAACCCTAAGCCCTAAACCCGAAGCCCTAAACCCTAAACCCAAACCCTAAACCCGAAACCCTAAACCCGAAACCCTAAACCCGAAACCCTAAACCCTAAACCCGAAACCTTGGTGAGCCTCCGGGGTGAGGATCTTCGGCTTCGCCGCGGTTCCCTTGAAGTCGCCCGGCTGGACCAAGGCCCCCACACCTCACCACACTCACAGAGGATTAGGGTTTGTAGGGTTTAAGGATTGAAGATGGGCTGAGGGTTTAGAGAGGTTTAGGCTTTGTAGAGTTTGGGGGTTGCAGAGGGGTTTAGGCTGTAAAGATAGCAGATCCTTGTGGGTTTGCAGCGTTGAGCCTTCATGAAGCTATTTCTGGACTACTCTCCGGCTTTTGGAAGGAGCTAGTTTGGGGTTCCATCTTGACTTTTTCAACGTTCGGGCTGGGATTACTGTTCTGAAGGGACACAGTTCGAGCGTTGTGCTGGTCGGGTCTGGGATAGCTCGGGATCAATTTCAGCTAGCCACACGTACGGTGCACATCGTCCGTTATCTTCAGCTCCCTGTGCTTTATGATGGTGATGATGATGTTGATGATCTTGTTGATGATGGCATTTCATGTGATGATGAGAGACGATCGCGACACTTCAGAATCCCACGCGTTCGCAGGAGGAGGGGAGTCGCGGTCCCTTCAGTTTGCCCGCCCAATACTTGGAAAATATATGGGCCATAGTGTAACTATATAGGACTGTAATCAGAGAGCCGTAGTACAGTGATACTAAGCATTCCGACCCCTATGGCCTAGGGCGGAGACCCCAAACCTCAAAATCAAAGTGTGAACGCCCAAACCGAAAATCCCACCCAAAAAGACAACACAACATCCTGACTTCGATACCCTGAATGATCTCCGAGCCGGCCGACCGAGTTCTTTGAGGAGTCCTTGGCATCAGGAGACGTGGGAAAGCTTTGCGGGTGGGTTTAGGTTGTTTTAGGGCTTGGTTTGGGGTCTGTGCCGGGCTGTTTTCCTTCGGGGTCTACGGCTTTGTCGCATGAAACCCGTGAAACGTAGGGGCAAAGCATGCGCCCCCCCCATCAAACACGGTTCAGCACAAGCTCCCTGAACCCTTAAACCCTGAATCTTAGATCCTCTACTCCCCACACCCTGAATCCACGACCCCAAACTCCCCAATAGCTCTGCGATCGGCTCGGACTTGCAAGGAACATGACCGATCGTAGCAGCAGAAGCAGAGCTGCTATCAATGGCCGGTAGAACAAAGCTACCGCAGTCGTAAGACGGTCAAAGACAAGACCCTGAACAAGACACGACCTCACAAAGTACAAGGGGTTCAGCCCGCCCTTGTTTGTTGCACCTGCTTTGCAATGTCTGCAGTGTTGTTCCGGCTGAATTGCCTCCTCCCTGATCCCCCCCTGTGCGCCAATACAGAGACCTGCAGCTTCTCAGCAGGGGGCATCTTGTACTTCTGCCAATATGGGAGTTTCCGAAAATAGGGGACCCTAATATAGTACCCTAAATAGTAGGATCCTCAATATAAGGACCCCAAAACAAGGTACCCCTAATTTTCGGAAACTCCCATATCAGTATCATGCAAGTGATGACAATGAAGGAGCAGGAATCAGTTGTGAGGCTTACGGCCTGGAGCTTGGCATTCATTATGAAAGGTCTCATGCTGCGGCAAAGCATCGTAAAGCGCTCTTTGCCGCTTCCGCTGCTTCACCATATTGTCCTGCCTCGACAGTTGCAGTCTGAAGCTTGCTGGTCAGGGTGTAGCAGTGGGAGATGTGGTTTGTGTTGAATTCTGTCCAGGATCTCTGTCGCAGTAATCGAAATTGCCGGAAGCAGAGTTTGAGCCTGGCGGGCCTTGACGCCTGCGAGTCGCGAATTGTGCGTCTCGGTGCAAGGTTTGACAAGAGTCTTGACTTTGCTGACAAGCATTCTAAAAATCATGCCGTTGATCAGGAATTTCGGCAGTATAACCGTACAACTCCGTTATGACAGCTAGCAAACACCTTTGCTCAGGTTAGATGCATGTAGCTAGCCTGGTGAGGGTTGAATTTTCAGACGGGCCTAGGGGGCCTTAGCCTAAGTAATCTCCAAACACAAACCCCAGACCCTGAACGGTAAAGCCTGACCTCACATCCTACGCTCTATACGCTAAAGCCTGACTGCACATGACTCTGAATTAACATCAATGCCTGACCACAGAAGACTCTACACACCCTACTTCACCCCAAACCCAGACCCTCACCCCTGACCCTCTCAAACCCTAAACTCCAAAACCCTGAACCCCAAACACCTAAACCCTAACCCCAAAACCCGAACCCTCAAAACCCCCAAACCCCATAAAACCCCAAAGCCCCAAAACGCTAAAACCCTAAAACCGTAAACCCCAAAATCCGGAAACCCTAAAACCCTGAAACCCCAAAACCCTACAGCGTCACTGAACGCGACGGATCCCGAGCCTTCAGCTCCGCGCGTGCCAGGGCAATGAAGGTAGCAGCCGCCTCCTGATTGCAAGAGTTCAGGGCGCTGGGGGCTTTAGGGCTTCAGGTTTAGGATTGCAACGGTTCAGGGCTTTGCGGTTTTAGGGTTGTAGGGTTCAGGGTTTTGGGGCTTTAGGGCTGCAGGGTTTCGGGCTTTAGGGTTATATAAGGGTTTACACCTGTAGGGTTTTTGGGTTTTACACGTTAAGGGGGGATTCAGAGGGTCCAGGGGATTTAGGGTTGTGGGGCTAAGGGTTTAGGGCTACGGTTTAAGGCTTCAGGGGTTTGGCGTTTACGGTTAAGGGCTTTAGGGTTGAGGGCTTAGCGTACTTCAATACACGACCTCCCCTATCCAGGTGCTGCTTTTCGGCAGCGCTTGGTTCGAACTTATTTTCTTTGCCTGCTCAAAAGCCTGCTGGAACGATCTGCCGATTGGCTTTGTGGAAGGCGCTGCTTGTTCGGCGCAATCTCAGGTGCTCATGTTGTGATTTTTTTTGCAAATGAAGCATACATAAGGCTCCTGGCTAGGATAGTGCACGCGGGTCATTGCGTCGAAGCTTCATGCCCGACATCAATCGACCATTGAGAGTTATATACTCCACATCCCTCTCTAGTTCAGGACTCCTTCGGTTGATGATATAAATCCTGCATTACCTTAAGGACCCTAAACTACGGGAATTATGATATATTCCTTATTATGGGTAATGCAGGATTTACATCATCGACCGGCGCACATGTCCCCTTAGGCCCAAACCCTAAAACCTCGAAGATCCAACCTGGAAGCTTAGAAGTCGGAAGTCTCCAGTAGGCCTTGGAAGAAAGGCCCATGTAAGAGAACAGGACTTTGCCACACACTCTATTTCCTGCTGTTTAACCACCCAGGGGCCCCAAAGTAGTTCCTTTTTGGGGTTCATATTTAGAATCCTATAAGGTAATCCCAAAAAGGAACTAGTTTGGAGCCTTTGGGCAGTTCTGTGGGGATTCTAAGAAAGAACTCTGTGGAACTCGGCATCGCTGCGCCCCTGCCTTCTCTTAGGGCGTGGTTCCGGTCAGTGCCAGGCAGGATTCGGGCTTAAGCATTGGGTTTTATTCAAAAGCATAAGCCGCTCAGATCTTCGAACATGCAAGCTTCTCAAACTCTGCGCTTGGTAGCGAAATACGGTTGATGATATCAATCCTGCATTACCCATAATAAGGAATATACCAGAATTCCCATAGTCTAGGGCCATTAAGGTAATACAGGATTTATATCATCAACCGTAGTGTGTAAACAATGGAAGAGCCCAGAGCCCCGGTCATCTGCCTGAGTGGCGCCAGAGGAGCGACCAGCTTTGGATTTGAGCTCGCCAAGGCCAGACGCACCCTGCGACTGAGGATCATGAGGACCCTTCGAGGGTAAAGGGGAGGGGGTTAGGGGGCCTAAATACGGTTTAGGGTTTAAGGTTTAGGATTAAAGCTTGATACGGGTTTAGTAAGGCCTATTTTCACTTCAATGCTTCCGCCAGAGAGCTTCAAGCCAAAAGCCCAGAGCTGAGCAACACACTGTACAGCTCCGCGGAAGGAAGGTTCAGAAAATGCTGGACATAAGGGGTCTGAATACAACTAGGATCCCCATGATTACCCGTAGGATCCCCATGATTACCCGTAGGATCCCCATGATCCAGGACCCTGAATTCGGTATCCCCTTGACTGATAGCGACCCCCCCATGCCCCCAGCCCCAAAAGAAACTTGGCCTTCCACTTAGGGTTCAAGGTTTTGGGCCTTAAGTTCATGTTTAGGGCTTGCCCAGCTAGCGCTTGAGGATTCATGATAAGGGGGCTTGTCAGAACTCATGATAAGGGGGGCTTCTCAGAAGTTGATGGCTCCAGGGTACCCCCCATCTCTGAAACTCTCACATTGAAGGGGCAGGTAGGAGGGTCGGAGCTGATAAACCCAGAAATTTCGCCAAACCGAGGAACTTATAAACCCAAAATCCCGAATTCCAGAGAGGTCCCACAAGCTCCTGACCCTCTGTGGATTTCAGGAAGCTCCGATAACCTGGAAGCTGACATCAAAAGCTCCAACACCTCCGGACACAGAAACCCTTACAATCTGCTACTATCAGGCTTTCTGAGAATCAACGAGAACGCTGGCACCTTGCCCATGGCATCTGACGCCAGGTCATTCCTAGGCCCGGCATCAGGGGAAACTGCAGGCGGGGAGCCGGGTTCAGGGCCTTGGGTCGGGGAGTGGTGGTGAAACTCAGTACCTCTACCGTGCAATGGTCAAGCAAAGTCAGGACAAGCAAGCTGCCAATGAACACCTACCATGAAACCTAAACCCGACCCTAACCCAAAACTTCCCACAACCCCAAAACCCAAAACCCTGACGCACAAGCCGAAAGGGCGAATATGGAGGTCTGAGTATAAGTCCTGTGTGACCATGGTATAGTATACCTCCAAGCCCTATTCTAATCATGAAAGTCTCTATATTCACCCTCAGAGCTTCACCTTTGCAAGTGGTCTGAAACTCTTGCACTGAGCAAGACTGAAGTAGTGAGCCCTATCAAGCTGGATAGTGTGAAAACGATAACTAGTGCTTGGGGGCATGAGGACACTGAGTTTCCAACTTTAAGTCATTTATTGCTGCTCTGCTCTACAAATCGAACCGAGGCCCATGGGCCCTGGATAGTCCTGGTGCTCGGCAGCGCCATTCTTTCTGTAACATTATAGTCCTGGGCCTAGTGCAGCTGTGATGTCGTGCACCTTGCAGCGCTGTTGTAACTCCACCCCGGTAGGCTCCGGCAGATGGGGCTCGTAGGCCTAATCATGGACGTTCTCGAGCTTAGCACAAGCTGCAGTTGCCCGCAAGGCCACCAATGCCCACAAGCATTATCCATTCCGAGGGGCTCACGTATCAATCATCAAACCTAGACATTGAACCCTGATCTAGAGGCTCGAAAGCTATAGCGGCTACTTGGGCGTAGAGATGCGTTAGTAAGAGTATCCTATATTGTTTAGGTTCTATGCCAAGGGCGCTTGCTCTCTGAAACTCCCCTCAAGAAAGCGCAAGCTGCCCTCGGACAAGCGTCGCTTGTTTCAGTAGGTCGGCACCGGCCTTACCCCAGATCTCTGCAGAGAAGGAAGCCTGGGAATTTTTCTCTGATGGCTGAGAGGTTGCGGGTTTAGGTGGTTCCTACCGTCGAGTTCCTAGACTTGATTGAGTTCAGGGCTGCGGCTACGGGCTTTCAAGTCAAAAACCCGAGTGTTTTTTCTGCACCCTTCAGGGTGCGTTGCTGTGACTTCGATCCCGGGGCTAGGGTCTCGGTGGCTCGTTTCAATTCCGAGAAGTTTCGCATCAGTTTGCTACTCAGAACACGAGCCGATGCCAGAGCAACACAGCAAACAGTCAGGAGTTCAGGGCTTAGAAAGAAGTAATGTAGGGGCCCCAAGAATTAATCAGAAAAGGGTTGTAACATTTTGGAGCCCATCATCCCATATTGTTATAGAAAGGAACCCCCAAACTAGTATAGGTAATTACTCAGGCCCCTGTATTAACGTACAAAGGGCAAAAAAGTTGCAAAACACAAATTTACGTAGAAAGAGCAAAAAAAGTTTGGATCTGTGTACGTTAGTACTGCAATGTTATGGAAAGGACAAACTAAACTAGTATAGGTAATTACGAAGGCCCCTGTATTGCTAAGGCAAGGCCAGGATGCCATTGTCCCTGCAGGCCGGTCGTCAGCTCGGCAGCCGGTCAGGTAGGCAGAAAATCAGACCCTAAGCCCACCAAACTCTAAGTGAAGCACCCTTAAAGGCCCCTAGATGTTCATCCCTGCATTTTTTGAGGTTAATGACTTCATGGCAGGGGCTGCTATGAACAAAGGAAGAACGGAACTTGAGCCCAAAAGCAGGGCGGAGAAATGGTTTCAGACCTTGGCAGCTTCCGAGGCTCCAGTGAAGGAAGAGCCCGAGTAGCGAGCAAATCGAAGCTTTAACACACAAGCGTAGTCGTTTCTGTACGCGAATAAACGCACCCATGGATTGGGAGTAAAATTAGCATGCAAGTACGAACTTGACAGAAGCCGCAGAAGAATGAAGAGCACGGGATAATGCGTGTCGCAGAAAGTGGCTTCGTCTATCTGTAACTACGTACCTCTACCTACCGGTCTATCCTTGTAATTGTCTGCCCATCTGCACAAATGGATAGAGATAATACTCAAACCTAAACTCTCTGAGCCCGAATTACCCTCAGCCGAAACGCTCAGTCCTAACCATCCTAAACCCTCGAGCCACCAGAACCCCCCGTGAAAGCAACCCTTAGCCGATGACAACGTCACCCGAAAACCCACAACCACCAGCACAACATAACCCCCTTTGAAGTCACACTCACACAGCTATCAAGAAACAGCCCTTACATCCCAAGCCTGCCTCTTAAAGTTGCTAAAGGCCGTTAAAGCAACCCAGATAGAAACCTTTTCACGAAGCTAAACTTTAGCTAAACCCTAAACTTAAACCCTAACCCTCCAGAACCCTGAACCACCTATAACTTTAACCCTAAATCTCTGCACAAGCCCTCCGCCCCTAAATCCCAAACCCTAAACCCCTTACCCCAAAACCCCCAAACCTCTCAACCCCTAAACCCCAAAACCGTAAACCCTTAACCCCCTACCGTCAATTCGCCGTCTTTCGAAGCTCCGGGCCGACCAGGCGAAGACCTCCGTGAGCCTTTGGATCGTCGTACCTCTCGAGGGTAGTTGTCAAAACCATGGTCCCCTTTTAAGTACCCTAAATATTAGGTGCCGTAGTATATTAAGGACCCAAGAAGGGACCCTAATTTTGACAACCTCTCAAGTCTTTGTGTGTCACTGTTTTTTTGGTGCTTAGGGCAGGGTACTATAATAAGGGGCTCCCTTAAGGGATCTATAGGGCTCTTGAGGGGAGTGAAGGGTCGGGCTTTAGGTTTCAGGGCTTAGGATCTGTAAGGTTTCAGGTTTGGGCATAGGGCTTGTAGGGTTTCGCATTCGGAGTCTAAGGGTTGCGACTTCACGGCATGCTTAGGATGTAATCTTTCGGGTTTGAAGCTTTTCGGTTTGGAAATCCCCAAGACCGTTAGAGCTTTTGTTCTTTTTGAGGATCTACGGCATGGCCGCAGTTGAACCGAGGGCCCAGGGCAGGAGGGTAATGGGTGCAAGGTTGAGGGTGCAGGATTTTGAAGCTTAGGCCTTGATTGCAACACCTGAGACCTAAAACGCCCAAACCCTAAATTCCTAAACCCTAAACCTGCCAATGTTTCCCTTTAGTTTTGAACGCGTTTCAAAGCTTCACAAGGTTCGGCCGCAGGCTCCTCACATACTTCGCTGTGAGCTGTGGGGCTTTGCTTTTTGTGTGTTTGCTTTTTGCGGGCCCTCTTCCATCAGCTGAGTAAGCCTTAGAACTCCTGGTCAGGAAAAGCCTGTTTCGGGCATAGATTCGATGCTACCCACTCAGTTCTAAAAGACTTAATACAATGCTGCAACCTACATCAAACCCTGCTCCCAGGCCCAAAAGGTACGGATTAGGGCTTAGGGTTTAGAGAGGCAAATCAAGAGCACAGAAACCCGAGAATTGCACGAAGCCCTCTGCTCAAGAATCACGGTGCTGCCCTCCGCCCAACTCAGATCGGCTACGGCCTACGATGCTTCAGTCACTGCATTCCGACAACAGCCCTGTCGGCGGCACTTCCCACAACGAAAGTCGGGCTTGATGCTGCTGCAGCAGTTGATGCCTGCAGCACTTGCAGATTTTCTGTCACTAGAATCACTAGAACTGTATAGAAATGGGGGGCAAAGGCAGAAGATGCTAAGGTAACAAATGCATGTACATGCAGCAGATGCTTCTTTCGGCGCATCCGATTGTATACAATTGACATAAAGCCTGAAAGCCCCTAATCTCTGAGATGCCTCAGCACGTCCGAATCCTGTGGCTGCGTAAAACTACTTGAGCAGAAGTTTATGTCCAACCAACGGCTCGAGCCCATGCCGCACTTTTGACCACACCGTGGGCACTATCCGCTTTCCCTGGAACGTTCTCCAGGTCCGAACTCTCTGCAAGTGAGGTTCTAGCCTTGCAGCACCTAGCCATGCAAGCATACACCGCCAAAGTGCGATGAAAGAACAGCACCATGTACACCATGACGACGACCAACACGGCCAGGACAAACAAGACCGGAACCACTAGGACCAACTAACACCACCAGGACAATCACCACGTGCTGGGGGCTTGAGCCCAAACTTGGTGGGAACTCGCGGACCTCGCAGGGGCACTGACCAACACCTGTCTACCCCGTTCGTAAGAACTCCACATGATGAACAAGCCTCATGTCACAGCAGCTCCGAAAGATCTTCGAAATCATCCTAAACAGAAGCCATGAACTCTGAACATCAGATGATTCTAGAGATGCAACTCAACAACCCCGGCACGAAGCTGCAGACAACAAAGCCCTAGTTCTCAAGGCCCCTGTCCAGAAACTCTACACTACACAAAGCCCTGCTTATAGAACCCTTATCTGCCACAGTTTTTGAAAACCCCTATATAACCCTTTTACGAACCGTTATGTACCCCTTTTTGAGAACCCTTAGCCTTCAGCGAATAGCTTGAGAACCTCATCATACTGGGCCTTGTGCCCATGTGCCAGCTGGGTGTTTATAAATTACCAAGCGCATGGGGTTGAGGGTTTTGGAGGCAAGGGTTTAGGCCTACAGATTGTTGATCCCCAGGGTTTAGGGTATAGGGTGTTGGGTTCTGAAGCTTGATATCTGAATTCTAGGATGCCCAGTAAGCTAGGAATAAAAAGGGCTCCCTTTTTGGTATTGGGTAACTTTATAAGGAACCTAGGACTACAAAAAGGGAATAAGGGTACTACTGGGCATCCTAGAATTTGGGGTTGGCGATTTCAGTCTGGCCGCAGCTATGATAAACACCCAGTTCAATCGATCGGCACCCGAGGCGGGCACGAATCCGCCGGAGCGTCACAAGCTCCCCAAAATGGGAGTTTCCAAAAATAGGGGACCCTAATTTGGGACCGTAAATAGTAGGATCATTTTTATAAGGACCCCCAAATAAGGTACGCCTGGTTTTCGGAAACTCCCAAAATGGCCTGGGCTACTCTGCTGACGAAACCTAGGAGACCTCCGACTTCCGAGGTCGCTCCTCTCGACTCCCCACAGCGCCCTCGTCGTGGGAGGAGATCTGCGGGGTTTAGGGTTTTAAGGGTTTAGGGTTTAGGGGGTTTAGAGGGTTTAGGGGGTTTAGGGGGTTTAGGGTTTAGGGAGTTTAGGGTTTAGGGATTGTGAGAAGGACTTTCTTTGCAGGGGAGCACGGCACATCATACTAATCTCAGGCAGAAGAACCTGCACAGACGCGGAGCCATTGCCCTGGGCATGGCGAAGCTCTGCGTGTAGTCTCCATTGTAGTTCCCTTGTCTTGTAAGATCCGAAATATAAATAAAACTGGAGATTACAAATAATATTAATTATAATAATAATAATAATCATAATAACAACAATAAATTGGTTATAAACCAAAACAGGAACTACCATGGAGACTTTGCGTAAGCCTACGCCACACCCATGGGCCCCGTGACAGAAAGGAGCGTAAACTCCTGGACCTGGCAGAGGTGGGGGGCTTGATATCGATGTTGATTGGGTTTTGGTGTACAGAAGATGGCAGAATCTAGTAGAATGCAGTAGAATACGGCCGAAAATTGTGCAAAAGATCGAATGTACATATGGGAGCTCCAGTTGGATAAGATCGGTTGAGGCTTTTGGTCCGACTCCATCAACCTTCGACGGCATGGAGCGAAGCGAATTCCGGGCGGCTACGAACAATGGGAGTGCTACAAAACATTGGGGTAACAGGTCTTATGTTAGAAAATCAAGGTACCACATTGAAGGGTCCCTAAGTATAGTTACCTGGACGCCAAAAGTATGTAGAATAATAGCCTTTTATAGGGTTTGGGCCATTATTTTACCTACTTTGAGGGTCTAGGTAAGGTCGTAGCATTTGGGGCTCGATGTTAGGATCCCGCACTCGGAAAATCCTGCTTGTGCCAGGCCACACTGTCGAAGCTCTTGTTGGGAACCATACCTCAGTTTTCTACACGCACTGAGATTTTTTAAAACCGAAGCACATAGATTGGGAAGTGTAGTGAGGGATCTGGGTACCATTTTTGGCGAACATATCCTGATGTTCACTGCGAACAAGCTGCGGAATTTCAATGCAGGTCGTTTTCCAAAGACAGAAAGCAGCAAGCAAAGTGACACCAAGCTCGAAGAGTTGCAATTTGACTGCATCCGAGCTGCTCAGATGGGAGAGGCTCCAGGAATTCCTCGGCTACGCCAGGATCAACTGACTTCCACAGCTATGGGTATATGCGGGTTTGGCAACTCAGGGGTACTAGTTAGGGTTCCGCATGCGGGTCCGTTCAGAGTAGTCGCAAAGACTTACCATGCAGTAGCCTGTAGCACTAACAACGCAGGAGCAGGAACTGTAAGTAGCCACCTCTTCACACGCACACAGGAACGTGTAAGCATGCGTGTATGTATGTATTTATGTATGTAACTTTGCAACTATGTAACTATGTATCTACGTATGTATGTAGTGTATGTGCATAATGTATGCGATGTGTGCTGTGTATGCTATGGGTTGTTATGTTACGATAAATGAGCTGAGTTATGTTACA